AAAATTATTATTATTATTTTAAATTTTAAAATCAGAAGATTAAAGTGCATAAAGACTATTTCTACCTGGTAATTTTAGTGCAGTACTATTTGCACTCGTCTCACTGTCATCATTACTGTTTTGGCTTAAATTTTTAATCAATCCATTCACGCAACGAAGTTGTGCTTCTGTTAAACTTAGTTGTAAGGTGAATACACTTATTGATATACAACTTATCTAAAAAAGAAATAGATCCATCTAAATTTATATTTTCATGATAAAAATTAAGTTACAATAACATACAAGAAGTTTGGAAACCAATAAGTTATAACAAGCGTTCAACGTTGATGTTACGTAAATGTTGCAAACAACATGGCAATTTCAATTAAGTGATTGTTGGTGTATGGCATCGTGCCTTAAGGTAAATTGTTGGAAAAGCTAGTATATATATTATAAAAAAATATGTTAAAATTACGTAACAAATATTCAAATTTTTGCTGTGTGTCTATCTAACATGGTTGGTACAAAATTTTGTGACGTCAATGTTACATAAAAATCACAGTTTGAATTGGATTGGAGACTAGGTGTAAGTGGTATTTTGCATAGAGGCAAGTTAGTGAACTTCCTGATATGTTCTAGTAATCCACTTATGCGATAAGAATTGAAATTCAACTTTATCATTTAAATTTTCTAAAAAAAATATGGATGCTTTCCATGTTGTCCAAACCTAACACAACGCTTTCTCATACATTTTTACTTAGGCTCCGATATGCATGGTAAGCGTTATTTCAATATTTTTAAATACATATCTGTTTTATTAAAAAAACTATGTGTGAGTGGTATGGAATTTTGCCTTAAGGCCATAAGAATTTAGATTTAAAATTATAATTATACTATTTTACTAATAAATACATATGCAACAAATTTGGCTGTGTGTTATTTGACGTGGCTGGAACAGAAGTTATAGGTATTTAAGGCTACGTAATACAAACGTATATATTGTTACGTCAATGGTACATAAAAATTACAGTTTAAGTTGAATTAATAAAGTGATGAATAGTGTCTTCTGATGCACGAAAAATGTATCTAATTTTATTATGTTTATAGTTTCAAAGATCATAATTTTTCAAAGAGACTACACACATAAAATTAAAAAGATACTTGATAAACTAAACTGGGACCTCGGTGTCTTCTACGTAAAGTTTAACACATGGCTAACGTTTTTGTTACTTATTCAATGAAGAGTTTTTCAACAATTGTTTTAATACTTATTACTCACCACATTTGGTAGTACATAAGTTATGCTGGATGTCACACATTGTCTTAAATTACAGTCGTTATAAAATGCATCCACTGTTATTGTAGCACCAAAAAATATTAGAAGAATTGCAGCATTTCCATAAGCTATTCTTATTGCTTTTTTCTGATCGATTCCACTACCTAGCTCCTGAAAAAATTTAATATAAAGGACAATGAAGAAATAAATTCCTAGTCGATCAATTTAGTAGATTTAGTAGATTTTCTTCACCTGTAAGCTTTTCTCAGCATTTTCCAAAGAATGCACAATTTTTGAAGATGTTTTTTTGAATATGGCTGATAAAATCATTATCAAGAAAACTAAAAGACAACTGCAGGCATACTCGAATATGTATAAAATGGTCTGCACATTTGATAGACTTTCAGTGTCGAAATCTACATGTTGTCTGAAAGGAGAAGATATCGATTAGTAAAAACCATTTTCGAACCAAAATTATGTTATATAAAATATACAATGAGTAGGTGCAAAATATTTAAGGAAAATATTGAGGATGATATAAGAGGATTTTTATGGAAATTTATTGGATTTTTTGGGCCAGACATATAAATAAGACAGTCAGAGCTTGTGTTTTGATATAGGACGATGTCGGTTATATGTGTGTAAAAAAAAAATAAAATCATTTTCGACCATCAGACAACTTTCTTTGCATCTCCGAAACTGCTGGAATGTCTCGCTGTCAATACGAATCGAATGTTTTTCGAATATTCGTTTTCTGCACTTTTTGCTCCTTATCTCCGTAATGGGTGAACGTGCCTTTGCCAAAAACTAATCAGCACATCTCCTCATCGGATGGAATCGAATGTTTTTTGAATAATTCAAATCGGTTGATCAGTGGGCCCGAAATTGTGGACGAGAAATTGTATCTACACATACATACATACACACACACATCTATTATTTCTAAGGTATGCCAAAATGTTCAGGAGGTCTTGAAACGTTAAGCTTTTTATAAGTAAAATAGTTTGTTAACGATTGTTGGACAATTAAGTTAAAAAAGTAAATTTTACAAGAAATAATTTAAACTATTGGTGTATGGCATCGTGCCTTAAGCGATCGACGAAAAATTGTATCCACACATACACACACATCAATTTTTTCTAAAGTATGCCAAAAAGTTCAGGAGATCTTGAAACGTAAAGTTTTTCATAAGTAAGTAATTTCATAATTTTCGATCACTGTACGATTAAATAAAAACAGCAAATTTTACAAGGAATAAATAAAATTAATATTTTTTTTTCTTACTTGTAAGACATCCTGACGACCAGAAATAGAACTGCAAAAAAATATAACAGTTGTATAACATCAGCACTTCTTTTGCAAGTTTTTGTTCTTTTATTCTCAGGGCCTTCAACATACCATGGTATGGCACAGAAGACCTTTGCCAGAAATGTTAAGGGTTTTATATAATAGAACAGACGTGTGAAGGGCATTTTATGAAAACTAAGTAAACATTTTTCACATAATAATACATTTACATATAATTTAAGATTTTATAGGTCTGACAACATTATAATTATCATATTTAAATCTCACAAACAGATTCTATTAAACACTACTTTTCTATGATTATTCTTATATTCGAAAAACGTTTCCAAATTTTAAATTTTTTATTTTTAACTAAAATGAATAAACACATTTTTAACGAACTAATTAAGAAATTAACACATTTTGAATTGTTTAATTAAATATTGCAATTTGCTGGTTGATTAAACATTGTCCTTAAATCCTTTATAAATGGATAAAGGTACAAACTGAAGTAAATTGTAACGAATTCCTCTTTATATAATTTCTGAACATTTTTGCTTATATTTATAAAAGAAACAAAAATGTGCCAATGTCAGTGTCTCATTTATATTGATCATACGTGTCTTATACGATTTGTATGTAATATATAAATTTATTTTTGTATGATTAATCGTCGTTTGCTAAAACTGATTTAGTAAACACATTAATAATTTACATATATATATATATATATATATATATATATATATATATATATTATTCCATGTTCATTAAATATTAAAAGGTGGTTGCGCCCTTTCTTTTTTGTTAGGAAAACATTCGTACATTTTGCATAATTAATTCGATTTTCTACACGTGCCGCATGTATATAAAAATAGAACTAACTAGTGGTGTATGGCACTTGTGTCTTAAGACAAATTGCTGGAACTTCCCGTACCTAAATAAACAAAATTTAATCAATCGGATTTAAAATGAAGGACATTGTCTAATACTTATAAGAAATTGAAATTGTTTGTTTGAAGTGTATAATTATAAACTTATTCACTTAAGTGAGCTTCAGAATTTTGGTTAAATTTAAAATTGAAAACCGAATTATTTTTGATATTCAAAAAAAGTTTTTTGAAATATTTTTTTTTCCAAAAGCAATCGCTTTGTCAACACAACAGAATTTTTTTTGAATTATTCTAATCGGATGCTTAGATCTCTCAAAAACTGACATTTTTTGCACATTTAGCTCTGTATCTCCGAAACGGCTAGAACTGCCTTTGCCAAATAATAATCATTACTTCTTCTCACCATTAGAAATTGAATGTTTTTTGGATCATTCAAATCAGATGCTCCGTTCACTCAAAAACTCGATTTCTATTTTCTGCACTCTATGCACCGTATCTCCGTTACGGCTGGACCTGCCTTTACCAAAAACTAATCAGCACATCTCCCTATCAATAGGAATCGAATGTTTTTTGAACCATTCAAATCGGTTGATCCGTGCGCCTGAAAACGTGGACGAAAAAATGTATCCATACATACATACAAACACACACACACACACACGCATACACACGTCAATTTTTTCTAATTATAAAGTATGCCAAAATGTTTAGAAACCTTCTAAATGTGAAGAAATGTAAAAAATTTCAATTTTGATTTTTGGACGATCACAATAACCCCACGAGAAGTTGATAGTAAACTAGGTGTAAGTGGTATTTTGCCTTCAGGCAAGTTGCTTGGACTTGTCAATACATGTAAACGATCGACTTATGCAATAAGAATTCAAATTCAACTTTATAATTTAAATTTCTTAAAAAAATTTAGATGCTTGCCTTGTTGTCCAAACCTAACACAACGCTTTCTCATACATTTTTACTTAGGCTTGGCTATGCATGGTAGGCGTTACATCAACATTTTTAGTACATTTGCACTATGCAATTAGTTTTATTGTTGTGAATAAAACTAGGTGAAATAGGCATTTTGCCTTAAGGCAAGTAGCCTAAACTTTTCAATATATAAGAAATCATTATATGACTTAATCGATAAGAAATTAGATACTGGGTTGCAATTTTACAATATTAATGATGAATTGGAGTTGGATAAGTTATTATATTTATAGATAGCATATTTTATCGAAAACGATACAGGGTTGGATTCTATTTTTATAAGTTTTCTCAAATATATACTAAAATTAAAAAGCATACGGCTGTTATTCAAGTTTTTTTTATTTAACATGGTTTTTTATGTTGTCTAAATAAATTTCCACTAACAAACAGTCTAATTGGGGTTCAAAACATTTGAAATATTATATTATAGTATTATAAAAATTTTTAGGAACATAATTTAGTTTGTTATCTGGATGAATGCCTGTTCAAAAAATTTGTATGTTTTTAGCCATCTGAAAAAAAAATTATTATAATTGTATAGATATATAGTTATTTAAAAAAAGTGCATATAGGTTGTGTTTTTTTATTAAAACAGGTCGGCCTACATAACATAAATATATAAAGATAACATTTTATATATACTTAACAAACTATTTACAAATACAAAATTAAATCATCAATAAACAAATTCAAAATCAAGCTTCTTGTGCCAAATTTTCTTCATACTCTTTACAGCGTTTTTCAAAATATTCTTTCCTATATGTCAAAGGTAATCTTCTCTGTCGAATTAAAAAGTTCTCATTACCATACGAAGTAAACGAATCATCTCCTATAAATTCCCTTAGTGCTATATTTCTTTGTAAAATTTTATTATAAAAATTCACTCCCGTCAATGCCATGTGTGGTCCAATATTTGCTAGTTGTTCATCGACAACACCTTCATAATAGGTTTCTGTGTAGTCTTTTGCGAATATATAACAAGAATAACTGTAAGCTATCGCTAAAGTATACATTATACCCCGTACTTGTACAGGCTTTGCAAATAAATTCAGTTTTCTGTTCAGATTTGTTGTTAGCCCATAACAGAATAAAACGAATGAAGGTGGGTACAACATTAATAATAATTTCTTTAGCGTCTGTGCTGTTAGGATTTCCCTGGCTATACCAAAGATCTTTTCATCATCTGTTAGTACTAATGAGCTGGCTAATTTTTTGCCGGATTCGCTCTCCCAGTCAACGGATTTCTGACGGACCTGTTGGCATATTTTTTGAAACCATTGGTAGATGTTTTCGAAAGGATTATTACTAACCTAGAAGATATGTAGAAAAACTATTCTTGAATTTGGAAAAATATAAATAATTTGAAGTGTTAAAAATCCAATCACACATTAATAAAGTACATAATTGTAGCATCTTGAATCCAAGAAAGAAAATTAGGAGAAGAGATTAGAAAATTGATATAACAATAGATTTTAAATAGTGTTATGAATTTGTAATATTTAGTTTTAAATGTTTGTAAAGTGTGGCAATGTTTTTACAAAGTCTAGATATCAACAATTGTGATTATATCACTGCTGGGGGAGTACTGTGGTAAATGAGGAATGCGATTGTACCCAAACAACATTTTATTAATTTATAAAATTATTTATCACCAGTAAAAAATATACTAGAGTAGTAATCAAAGGATTTGACTTTTAAATATGAAAAAATGTGTATTTGTGTAACTGTTAGCATTTTTTTTAGGTTAGACTAGTAATGTATTTTGCTTTCTACTATTATTATTGGGTTAATAATTCTCGTACATAATTCCAAGATTTTGTCATTTTTTCTTTCTACTCCAATCATGCTATAAGTAAATTTAAATTACAAAACTCTTACCACGATCTCTCTTTTGTCAATACCGTCTGCAGATAAATATCCGTAGTTAACTGGAATACCAATTATGGCCCCAAATCGACTGTGAGTGGAACCTGAAGAATTTTTTAACAATTATACAAAACATTTGTATAAATAGAATAATGATTATAAATTTCTTACCTGCGTTGAACAAATCACATCCGACAACAGTAAATGGCTTCAGTAACTTCTTTGTACTTTCTGGTATACTTAAAATTTGAACAGCAGTGTCAAAGCAATTTAATACTTTATCTGGTGTCTCTCTAGGAAATCCGTCGCTGAAAATTAAATAAAATATTGTGCATCAAATCTTTACAAATACATCAAATTTTAACCTCATCGACCTAACCTATAACACTGGACAATTTCTTGATATTTATCTATAAATAAGGTGTTTGGTAAATAAATAAATGAAACTGTGGCAACGGCTCCTGCTGTAACTGATCCGAAAATAAATTTTCTGCCATTTTGCGTGGTAAACCAGGAAAATCGATTCATTTTGTATTTAATAGAGATTTTTAACAAGAATTTTGAGGCCGGACAAATTGACAACTGTCAACTGTCAAGTGTTTTGCGAGAGGACATTTTGAATTTTTTGAAACTGTCAAACGTTTTGTTTACAACTTCACGCGATAAAGGATACACAGTTTGACATTTTGCACAATGTAACCTAAAATTAAAAATGAGAAACTATTTATTATTTATTTTCGGTTTAATATTAGGAGTGTCTTTAAGTTTTTATTTACCGGTTATTTTAAACACTTGCAGTTATGTCACCCAAGAATTATTTAAAAATGAGAAACTATTTATTATTTATTTTCGGTTTAATATTAGGAGTGTCTTTAAGTTTTTATTTACCGGTTATTTTAAACACTTGCAGTTATGTCACCCAAGAATTATCAACATCGACAATCGCAAATCGCATTTACAGTATTCCCACAGTTAAAAATATCCTTTCCACAAAAGAGCCTCCAAAAACAATACTCAGACCTAGATATTACTCTACAGAATTAGGAATTAAGGAAAAAATACTCATAGGCATTTTAACGACTGAAGAAAATATACACACACGTGCCACAGCTATTAATAAGACTGTTACTCATTTGGTCGATAAGATTAAGTTTTTTATAACAGCTAATAATGTTATTTCTGATATTACTTTAAAGAATGTTGTGGGGTTCACAGATTCTAGGGAAATTCTTAAACCTTTTCATGTTATTAAATATGTAGTCGATAATTTTATAGATGAGTATGATTATTTTTATATTGCTACTGATGTTAGTTATATCGATGCAAGGAAACTTGTATCTTTGGTTGAAGGGATAAGTGTTAGTCATGATGTTTATATGGGAGTTTTGTCTGATGAAGACAGCTTGTATTGTAATTTAGGTAATACAATATATTTATTATTGAAAATACTATTTTTGTATGTGTGTTATAAAATTTGTTATGTATTTCTAGATGCCGGTATACTCATCAGCAGTAGCGTATTGAAACAATGTCGTGATAAATTGGAATGGTGTGTCCATAATTCTTTTTCTGATTCTCATAGTGAAAATTTGGGAAGATGTGTAGCTCATTCGACTCGGTTAAAATGTGCTAATACTATACAGGTGAGATTTAACTTCATATTTAAAACTTTTATGTATATATTAATAATTATTTATTTACATACAGGGCCAAAACTACACTGGCTATGAGTTAACAAGCCGACAAATAAATTATGAAAAACTGAACAAAGAAGATTCTTTTAACAATGCAATAACTGTGTATCCAGTTCCGGATACATCTGATGTCTTTGCACTTCATGCATACTTTACAAAAGTAAGTCTCATTAGAATAACTAATTAATTTGTACGATTCAATATCAAAATGTTATTTTTCTAGCAACATTTAGTGAAAGCAACAAATAACATAGCAAAATTAAGACGACAGTTAGTGGAAGCTGCAAAAAAGGGCCCAACCGGTAAATACATTTTTTATCTCTTGTTTATGATCATTATTATCACACTAACTAATTCCCAGAATCTCAAGAATCTCCTTGGCCTGTTGGAAGTCAACCACACAAAAAGCCTGAGCTGCGTTATGATGTTAACAGATGGAATTATTTTAATGCAACACATTTTTTGCTGCCAGACGATCATAAAAATGCAGCTGTTATACATGGAGCTGATTTACTAGATATACAAGTAATAATAGATATATAAATTAATGATTAGTTGTAATTTATGATGATTGTATTTGATTTTTTTTTAGTATGTTTTAAATTCTACAGTTAAATATGCAATGAACAAAAACAAAGACATACAATTTTTGCAACTTGTTGGCGGATATAGAAAGTTTGATTCATCAAGAGGAATGGATTATAAATTGGATATTTTATTTAAGAACACTCAAAATGCTGCACAGGAACTTAAAAGGTATTTACTTTGTTAATATATATATATATATATATATATATATATATATATATACATATATTTATATATATTATTTCTTTTAGATTTGAGATATTTAAACAGCTGGGAAATGTAAACATTCTATCGACTCCATATGTGACAGAGATGACAAGAATATCATTAATACTTCCCGTATTTAGGCATCAAATAAATAATGCAAAAACATTCATGCAAAATTATGCTGAGACTTGTATGAGCAAAAAGGATAACACATTTTTAATGCTGGTAAGATTAATTTATTGTTATTAATATACCAGCCTCACATTATTATTTATTATTTATCAATTTTCGAAAAGAGAAGTTGATGTTTTACTAGAAAAATCGATTTGCTCTTTTTATTTTTTTATTAACTTGAGCAAAGAGATTTTTTTCCTAGAATAAAGACCAATTTATATTTCATTTTAACCAGTCTTATTCCTACTAAAATTTGCTAATATATTTAAATTATAAATGAAATATTATTCTCATGTGGACTATTTATAGCTTTTTGTATAAGTTAGATTTTGTATTCATGTTTCTTAATCAGTTTAAATATCAAGCTAAAAGTTTTGCATGTATTAATTTTTCTAAAATGATCAGCAAGCTTAACTATTTATACTTAAAATCAAATAATTTTGCTTACTTTTCTATTTATAATAATTACACAATTATAATTATAGAGTTGTTATAGTACATAATTGCAAAAAAAAATACAAAATGAAATTTTATTATATATAATATATCTTTGCGTTTCAAAGGTTTCTGGACATTTTGGTATACTTTAGAAAAAATTGATGTGTGTGTATGTGTGCATGTGTGTGCGCGGATACAAGTTTTCAAAAAACATTTGATTCGTCCCAGACTAGGTCTTTTGTCTGGGTGTGTCGGACTCAAAACCACCTGGGTATAATACCGACTAAAACTTCCGCTTTGAACTTGCCTCTGGTCCCCACGGAAACCGACGTTAGGCATTACTTCGTGGGGGGAGGATCTAGCATGTTATCATTCTTACACTGATTTTATACTCATCTTTTAAATGAGCGAAGTCCCATTCGCTTTTTCTCTATATATTTCTTCTATATTTCTATATATTGTATATATGTGTGTGTATGTCTGTGTGTGTATGCATAAGTGTATGCATGAGTGTATGTATGTGCGTGCGGATACAAATTTTTGTCGACGATTTCGGGAACGCGGTCAACCGATCTCAATTATTCAAAAAGCATTCGACTTGTATTGATAAGGAGACGTGCTGATTAGTTTGTGGCAAAAGCAGGTCCAGCGGTTTCGGAGATACGGAGCAAAAAATGCTAAAAAGAATAATACAGTTTTTAAGAGAACGGAGCGTCCGATTTTAATAGTCAAAAAAAGATTTAACTTGTATTGACAAGATGAAAAACTGATTAAATTTTTGGGAAGGCAGGTCTAGAGGTTTCGGAGATCTAGTAAAAAAAGTAAAAAAAGGGCATTTGCCGATCAAAAATGACCATTAGACATATGCACATCAAATGATCACATATTTTATGGAGACTTTAATAATATGTATAAATTTTGTTTACATTTCTATGGTTTCTGTAACATCGTTTGTCTGTAGGATGGCGACGCGGCGCCTACGCGCTTCGATACTTCGTTTCTATGCAGCTAAAGCGGTGCGATTGCTTTGAGAAAAAGTTCAAAATTTTCAAAATAAAGAAAATATTGTTTTCAGTCTTTTTTTTCCAAAATTTTAAATTTCTCAAAAATGTCATTTTTTTTTCAAGCATATTAAAAAAATTTAAGTTTAAAAAAACATATTAAAAAAATTAATTTTTGGGTACGGAAAATTCTAGCAATTTGCCTTAACGCACGATTGCCATACACCACTTAGGGTAAGTTATTGTAATGGGCCGAAAATCGGAATTGAAAATTTTTACATTTCTCGACGTTTTGAAGGTTTCTGAACGATTTGGCATACCTCAGAAAAAATGGATGTGTGCGTGTGTGTGTGTGTATGTATGGATACAAATTTCCAGTCACGGATCAACCGATTTGAATGGTTCAAAAAACATCCGATTCCTATTGATAGGGAAAAGAGCTGATTAGTTTTTGGCAAAGGCAGGTCCAGCCGTTTCGGAGATACGGAGCAAAGAGTGCAGAAAATTGAAATCGAGTTTTTGAGAGAACGGAGCATCCGATTTGAATGATCTAAAAAACATTCAATTAGTAATGATTGGGAGAAGGGGTTATTAGTTTTTCGCAAAGGCAGGCCCAGCCATTACGGAGATACAGAGCTAAATATACAAAAAATGGCAGTTTTTAAGAGAACTAAGCGTCCGATTCAATTGATTCAAAGAACTTTCTGCTTGTCTTAACAAAATAATTGATTTTGGAAAAAAAAAATTGTACCATTTTTTTTTTTTTTTTTTTAAATTTTTTGTATATCGAAAATAATTCAGATTTTATTTTTAATTCTGACTACAGTTCTAATATACTTTGAACAAATAATTTCAACTCTGCAATATTAGACAATGTTACAATATTAATAATAATCTATTTGAAAACATTCAATATTCCTCGAACATTTCGTTACGGTACGGGAAGTTCCAGCAATTTGCCTTAAGGCACGATGCCACCCACCCCACTAGTTTCTTATTATGTTGTTCATTTACCAATATACCCCTTACACCCAGTTTTTCATTCCAGGTTCTATTATATGAATACAATGCACCCAGCAAAGGCAGCAGCGACATATACTTTGACTTAAAAAAAGAAGCCACAATGTATTCAACAAAATTCAAGAGCAACGGTTCAAAAATAGCATGGGTCTCCATACGTCTTCCAAATGTTAAATATTACGAAGACTCCTTTGTTAAGAAGAAGCAAGACTATGGTTTGTTCGAGACTAATGAAAGTGTTAATGGACCTTATATTAAAAGAGCTAGTCGCAGCACGAATTTTGTGAAGCCTCAAAAAGTTGTTTTCCATAAAGAGAAGATGATACAGGTTGCTGTCGTTGATCTGGCTTTGAGGAAGATCGGTTTGGATAATCTTGTGCTGGTTTGTAATATGAAGATGAATATTAAGTCGGAGTTTTTGAACAGAGTAAGTAGTAAACTAGCTGTAAGTGGAATTCTGTCTTAAGGCAATTAAGGCATCGTGCCTTAAGGCAAATTGCTGGAACTTCCCGTACCAAAAATTATTATTTTTTTAAAAACAATTAACATTTTTGAAAAAAATTTACTTCGAAAAAACTAGATTTTTGAGTAACTATAAATTTGTTAAAAAATTACTTTTTAAAAAAAAAATTTTTTTTTTCGTAAACAAATTTTTTTTGAAAAGAAACATGTTTTCTTCATTTTGACATATTTTGAAAATTCTGAAGGTTTTTTCAAAGCAATCGTACTGCTTTCAATGCATAAAGACGAAATATCAAAGCGCGTAAGCGCCGCATCGCCGTCTAACGCGTTAACATTGGTACGGAACCCATGGGAATGTAAACAAAATTTATACTTATTGTTAAAATCTCTATAAAAAATTTGATAATTTGATGTGCATATGTCTAATGATCATTTTTGACCGCCAAATGGCTCATTTTTTTACTTTTTCCTCCATATCTCCAAAGTCGTTGGACCTACCTTTCCAAAATTTTGAACAGTTCTTCATTTAGTTAATACAAATAAAATGTTTTTTGAATTATTCAAATCGGACGCTCCGTTCTCTTAAAAACTGAGTTACCGTTTTCGGCACTTTTTGCCCCGTATCTTCGGAACGGCTAGACCTACCTTTGCCAAAAACTAATCAGCACGTTTCCTTATCAATACGAATCGAATGTTTTTTAAATTATTCAAATCGGTTCATTCGTGTTCCCGAAATCGTCGACGAAAATTTGTATCCGCACATACATACACACACATACATACATACACACACACACACACACACATACATCCATTTTTTCTAAGGTATGCCAAAATGTTCAGAAACCTCTGAAACGTAAAGATATATAAAAATTTTCATTTTTGATTTTTTTGCGATTACTATAACTTGCCCTACGGGAAGTTAATAATTTCTAAATATTAGGTATTATTTATTTATTTAAAAGACAAATAATGAGGAAAATTATATTATGAATACAGTTATTTTGTAATTTAATGAAAACTTAATTATAAATTATTTTATGAGTTTGTAAAGTTTTGTAATGATTTTGTTTTTTATTTAATACTATTAGTTTTTTTAAGTGAAATGAGAATATGTCTTTAAAATGTTGCTAATGTTTTCTAAAAAAATGTTGCAGATTGTCCCAAAATTTTGTAAATAGTTTGAAAGTGTTGTAAGTTGTCGAAAAATGTTGTAGATGGTCTGAAAATGTTGTAGTTGATTTGAAAGTGTTGTAGATTGTCTGAAAATGTTGAAAATTGCTTGAAAGCGTTGTAAGTTGCTTGAAAATGTTGTAAATGATGTGAAAGTGTTGTAAGTTGTCTGAAATTGTTGTATTTGGTCTGAAAATGTTGTATTTTGTCTGAAAGTGTTGTAGATGGTCTGAAAATGTTGTAGATCATCCGTAAATGTTGTACATAGTCTGAAAATGTTGCAAGTTGTCTGAATATGTTATAAAAGTCATGTAAGTGTTGTAGTTGGTATAAAAAAATGTTGTAGATGTTCTAAAAATATTGTAGATGGTCTGAATGTGTTGTAGATGTCCCAAAAATGTTGTAATTTATGTAGATTGCCTGTTAATGTTGTAGAGCGCATGAAAATGGTATAAATGTTGTAGGTGCTCTGAACGTGTTGCAAATGGTTCAAAAATATTATTAATGGCCTCAAAGTGTTGTAGAAGCTTTAAAAATGTTGTACATGCTTTACAAAAGTTGTAGATGATCTGCAAATGTTGTAAATGGTCAGAAAGTGTTGCAGATGGTCTAAAACTATTGTAGATGGTCCAAAAATATTGTATATATCTTAAAAATGTTGTAGATGGTTCAAAAATACTGTATGTATCTTAAAAATGTTGTAGATGACCCAAAAATGTTGTATATATCCTGAAAATGTTGTAGAAGGTCTGAAAGTGTTGTGGATGATCCAAAAATGTTGTATATATCCTGAAAATGTTGTAGAAGGTCTTAAAGTGTTGTGGATGATCCAAAAATGTTGTATATATCCTGAAAATGTTGTAGAAGGTCTGAAAGTGTTGTGGATGATCCAAAAATGTTGTATATATCCTGAAAATGTTGTAGAAGGTCTTAAAGTGTTGTGGATGATCCAAAAATGTTGTATATATCCTGAAAATGTTGTAGAAGGTCTGAAAGTGTTGTGGATGATCCAAAAATGTTGTATATATCCTGAAAATGTTGTAGAAGGTCTGAAAGTGTTGTGGATGATCCAAAAATGTTGTATATATCCTGAAAATGTTGTAGAAGGTCTTAAAGTGTTGTGGATGATCCAAAAATGTTGTATATATCCTGAAAATGTTGTAGAAGGTCTAAAAGTGTTGTGGATGATCCAAAAATGTTGTATATATCCTGAAAATGTTGTAGAAGGTATGAAAATATTGTAGATGGTCTAAAAATGTTGAGGATGGTCTGAAAGATATTGTAAGTTGTCTGAACATGTTGTAAATAATCCAAAAATGTTGTAGTTGGTTCAAAAATGTTTGTGGTTGGTCTGAAAATGTTTTAAAAGATCTAAAAGTGTTGTAGAGATGCTCTAAAAATGTTATAAATGCTCAGAAAGTGTTGTGGATGGTCTGATAATTCTTGTAGATGGTCTAAAAATATTCTAGATAGCCTGAAAATGTTGTAAATGGTCTGAAAATGATGTAAGTGCCTGAAAATATTGTAAGTCGCCTAAAAATGTTGTAGATGGTCTGAAAATGTTATAGATGGTCTAAAAATGTTGTAGATGGTCTAAAAATATTGCAGATTGCCTGAAAAGGTTATAGATGACCTAAAAATGTTGTAAATAGCCTAAAAATGTTGTAGATGGTCCAAAAGTGTTGCAAGTTGTCTGAAAATGTTGTAAATGATCTAAAAATGATATCAATGGTTTAAAAATGTTGTAGATGGTATACAAATGTTGTAAATTGTCTAAAAATGTTGTAAATTGTCTGAAAATGTTGTAAATTGTCTGAAAATGTTGTAAACTCTCTGAAAATGTTGTAGATGGTTCAAAAATGTTGCAAGTTGTCCGAAAATGTTGTAAATGCTTTAAAAATGTTATAAAATGTTTAGAAGTGTTGTAGTTGGTCTAAAAACACTTTGATTTTAATTTTCAATTTGCTAAGCTTTACTTCACGCATTATTATTTATTTAGTTAATTAATTATAAATAAATATTATAAATTAAATAATATAAAATTTTATGTTACCTGTTCTGTTTTAAATTCTAGGTAAGAATGAATACCATAAATGGTTATCAAATATTCAGCCCAATACCTTTCCACCTTTACGACAGTAAAATAACAAAAGTTGAAGTTCAAGATGTACATAAAGATTCTGGATATTTTGATCCTGATTATTATGATGTGATTTCATTCTATAGTCGGGATTATGTTAATGGTAAATAACAAACACACACACATCACATGTTCTTTTATATATATTATTATTGTTGTCTATTTTAGTTCGCAAGCTGATGGAAAAAACCTTCCCGATCATCAGATCTGACAAAGACATCTCTCTATTGTTCCCCGAAGACCCTGCAGTGCTTCCAAACAAACTGAAATCAATCTTTGAGCTTTTTGTGGGATATTCCATCAACATACACTGTATGAGATCTATTGAGCCAAATTTAATTTTAGAATACGAAGATAATTGTCCGATGCAATATAAGAATAACGAATTGGTAATGTTTCATGAAATGGAAGAGTGTTTGCTGAGAGATGGTTTTTCGAGTAAACTTGCACCAAAGAGTGTTTTGGCGAATTTGATTATTGAGTATAACTCGGTTAAAAGTGCCTAATGGTAACATTCAGAAGCATTTATTGATTATATATACACTGAGATCTCATTTTGCGTTGTAGAATATAAAATATATGTATATATTCAGTGGTACTTCGACTTTTTTTAAATACGAGCGCGATTTGTTGCTTTGACAAACTGCAAAATGGGAAAATGAAAATATGAAAAATTTTAACATAACAATGATTTTTCCATCATAGAAATATTTTGGTTGTTTTATAATAGTAAATTAATAGGATGATTTTAACATTAAATAACGTAAAACGAAACGCAAAATGAGTTACTGGTGTATATGATTAATTTAGATAGTTGTTAGTTATGATAACTTCTATTTTTACATGCAATATCTGACGATTTAGAAATATATTTTAATAAATATATATTTATGTATACAGTATTTTAAATATATTCTTGTACTATCTATGAAACAAATATGAAATAGCTTTAAATATGTATAGATATATTTTTCAAACATTCAATTTTATATAACTATATTCTATCATAAATAGAAATGTGCCTTTCAATAGTTTTTAGCAAAGCATTTTTATATTTATAAACCAAAACAAATTCTGACAAATATAGTTGTAAATGATATATCATTTAATTAATTGTTGTATCAAGTAAATCTTTTTATTTTATAAAGTATTATTTGTTAATTAATAATTTACATATTAATTATATTGACACTATGTATGTAAATGAAACTAGATTAGTTTCATAGACAAAATGTTACTTTTTCTTGAAAATACTCAATATTTTGTTTGAAAATAAAAATTGTGGAACACAACTCAGTGTTATATTAGTAATAATCAAGAGATTGGCAATAATTTAAAAGAAATTAAGGTCTCTTAAATTAATTGATTATAACTGGATAACGAAAAAAAAAAATAGATAGAGAAAGATGTAATTGTATAATGAAAATGTTGTTTGATAACATAGTAAAACCAATATTTTTTTAATACTTTTGTATTAAAATGATTTATGTATCCACTACAATTTGTGGACTTATGAAGAGTCTTTAACAATTATATTCAGCATCTTTTTCGATCAGGATTTATATTCCTATATATACATTTTAAATGCAAAGTTGTATTGCATTCTTTATAATATGTACAGGATCGAATTAATTGTATGGGGATCTTATTAATAAGAAATCCTGAAGTTAAATAGAGGCAAAAACTAAATTCATCAAGATAAGTTTTATAGTTAATTTGAAGGTAGATGAATATATATTTCTTTTTAAACTTTAACCTTTGTAAGGATCCTCCAGACAAAGCACGATACTTTTCTGATGTAAAACCTACAATTTTTGTAAATCTACTTGGATATATATGATTCTATTATAATGATTTTGAATCTACTTTATTGAGTTGACATAACTACAGTGATTGTAAATGTAATACAATGAGTGTTTACAAAAAGTGATTTAATTATAAAAATTTATAAATAATGTACCCACTCCTAGGACATACACCGTGTATGTCCTAAGAGCTTATTGGCTCAACAAGGAAAATAGAAAGAAGAATTTTTTAATTAGTGCTTTTTATGGATTTTTGAAAGAAATGATTTAAATATAGGCCTATAACAAAATATTTAGTGAAAGGTTCTACTATATTTTATTAATTTTTAATTAACATATTGTAATATTGAAGAACTATCAGAATTTTGCATTATAATTCTGTTTTACTACAAGGGGATGTAGCTCAGTGGTAGAGCGTTCGCTTTGCATGTGAAAGGCCCCGGGTTCGATCCCCGGCATCTCCAAATATTTTTATACTTCAAAAAAACATTTATTTTAAACACAATTAACCCTTCAACATTTTATACAACGTAACACTATTTAAATTTTTAATATAAATAGCATTTTAATATTAATATACTTTGTTGATATGTAGGGAATATTATATGAAGCTGTTGCAAAAACAAATTTATAGATTTAGTTGTAGGTTTATATTTGAGGCTATTTTTATTTTATTAATTTAATTTATATAAAGCAAGTATATAATACTACTTGTTGCATTTAAAAGATATTTAATATTTTTTATATGCAGTTATCATATAGAAACGCTTTGTGCATATGGTATGAAGTTAGATGCATAGGTATATGTACAAAAAGTATATAAAATTGTTGCAAAAACAAATTTTTAGGTTTTTTTGTAGATTTATATTTAAAAACATTTTTATTTCAACAATTTAATTTGTAAAATGCAAGTATTTTATACTACTTGTTTAATTTAAAAGATATTTGAAATGTGCATAGGGTATGAAGTTAGATGCATACGTATATATATTCAAAAAAGTATATAAAGTTATTTTAATTTATTATATTTATACAAATATATTAATCATATATTTGTATTCAGAAATGTTTATTTTAATTTGAATTTCAATATTTTGCATATATTTTAATCTTTATTTTCCTTTCGCCTAGGCCTATCTTTTATCCTTTTAATGTTGGCGAAAATGTCCTTTACCACAATGGCGGTTGACAGCGTTTGACAGCTCAAAAAACATGTAATTTAATAAATTTCATTTAAAAAAGTGTTGTTAAAAAAGTTAAATTGTTATAAACAGTTGTGCAAAAGGATTTTTGTTTTAAAAATGTCGTTTTCTTTTGGAAATACGACAAATACCGGTTTGTCGTTCGGAGCTGCTTCGACGCCGGCTAAACGTGAGTTGAACTAAATTTTATAGGTTAATAGAAAGGATAATTGAAATTATGTATATTTATTTATATAGATTGTAAAATCCTGTTTGGATTTGTATTTAAGTGGGATTTGTACAAATTAGTATGTATTTTGCACAATTATATCAATTGTATTGATATAAAGACAATTTTTGGTATAACAACAACAATCTTTTGTTTATAATTGTCCTTGAGGATGTCAAACAAGTCCTTTGAGTAAAAATGTAGTTTCTTGTTAACAAACTATATAATATATAATAAAGGGCATAAAGTAATATTTTTTCATAAAATTGTTTAATAAAAACTAACCTAACTTTGGTTTTTGGAAATTTAATTAATGAATCAAAACTTTCAAGTCTTTATTTGACTTATCTTCAGTACAATTAATTTGTTAAAAGATATCAAAGCCCTTTTATATATAAATAGGAGTTTTTTTTTTAATATATCCTTTTGATAAAACTACTTTAAAAATACCTAATTCAAACAATACATAAATTTTCCTACAGCAATCATTCTGTTCGATACATTTATTTATTATTTGCAGAACAAAAAAGCAGCATTTTTATAATCTATATTCTCAAAATATAATATTATTTTACATTATATTATTTATAAGTCGCATTTACTTATACTACTGAGATGTGAATGAATTTTTTTATAAACATTAATATATATTCTATTATCTACTAATATATAATATAAATATATTGATTTAATATAAATAATAAGTATATAACAATTACGATGAGATAATTATTACAAAATATATTTTGTGATACTATTTTTGCTTAAATCTTATGGTAGTCCTAAATTATACATCTTCAGGGTTTGTTCGGTAAGTGGATATGTACATTTCTGCATCCTTTTTGCGTTCCCTATAAAACAAATTATATATATATATATATATATATATATATATATAATATTACCTTCTATAGTGCAGCCAAATACTGAGCAGTATTACACAGAATATGAACAATGTAATAATCAAGTACGAAAGATTTATATATATAATAAAATAGCTTGTTTCATCTGCAAATATTAATTTACAATAACTATTAATACATATTTGTATTACTCAATAGTAAATAAGATAATGTTCATTTTATTACTGGGATTGAATTAAGATTTATAAGTTGTTTTGATTTAAAACTACAAATTATTACTTATCATATTTTATTTACCGAGTCCACTATGTGTCACTTCAATACTTTTTTCTGTTATTATTGTTTCTAATGTACTATTAGAATTATTTTCAAGCAAAGTATTGTTCTGTACTTCCATTTCTTTTATGGGAGCTTTCAACGATCTCCAGAATTCAATTGTTGGTCTATTTGTCGATGTGAATATTTGATCGAAGGGAATCTGAAATATAAATATATAATAATCGAGGGTGAGGGACAATTTTTACAAAAACTATTCAGGATGTATTAGTTTGTATTACAAACTTAAATATATTTTTATTATAAAAACATCTAGTAATATTAGGTTTTTCATATATATAGTTTTTTATTGAAAGTTAGTTTTTTATTGAAACACATCCATATGATGAAAATAAAATACAAGACAAAAACTAAACATTTATCAAAAAGCACATTATAATAAAATATATCAATAATAATAGGTAAAAATAATTACAAAACAATAATAATATCAATAATAATGGTAATAATAATAAAAATTATGATTTTTTTTAAAAAACAATTTAAATATCTAATGATATAGATTGTATTTGATATATGGCCTATTGGCATGTTGCTGACACGCTTTTTTACCCTTCCCGAAGGAGAAGTTTATGTTTTCATAAAAAAATCGGATTCGCTAATTTTATGTTTTCTCGACGTTTCAAGACATTCTGAATCGAATGGGACCAATATTTAAGGAAAAAGTAAGGAAAATACATGAACCGATTTTAACAATTTTATTTTACAATTTTAATCTGAATATCTAATAAATTTGATCTGGGTATCTAAATCTCAATTTTGGTTGATTAAGTCAATTGTTACACGTTTCATGCAATTTGCCTTAAGGCAAGTAGTTTAATTTTCCACTTTCAACTAGTTAAAGTTTACCTTTAGCATTATTTTTGTTTATTTATCACGACTATATTGTGAGTATATAAATTTATTTAAATAAATTAGTTATTTTATAGTTGGTTCTATAATTATTACAATGGTGTTTCTTACAAGACTTATGATTTTCTACTAAACGAATCGTTTATAAAATCTTCGTCATGTGTGGTGACAATGTTTTGTATAATCTGTGCGGTTAGATATATTTATTTTCTATATAAATATATATATTATATGATGTGTTCATTATCAATGATGGACAAGAATTTGAATTAATCGGAAATATGATTATTACTCACTCATTTTATATTTATAAAATAGTTATTAAACCTTTTGCTACGAAAGTCTTCCGCGTGACGACCTGTGTGTACGAATGTCGCCTATGGACGACATTCTTGATGACTTTAGCTTCAATGTTTATCACTTCTAGTAGTCGTCGAAAAATCGCAAATGAAAAATTTTGAATATCTTCACGTTTCAGAGGTTTCTGAACATTTTGGCACATCTCAGAAAAAATGGGCGTATGCGTGTGGACAATTTTTTGTCCACGTATACAATTTTTTGTGCACGTTTTCTGTCGCACGAATCAACCGATTTGAATGATTCAAAATACATTCGATTCCTATTGATAGGGAGATGTGCTGATTAGTTTTTAGCAAAGGCAGGTCCAGCCGTTACGGAGATACGGAGCAAAGAGTGCAGAAAATACAAATCGAGTTTTTGAGAGAACTTCCGATTTGAAAAAACATTTTGTTTGTGTTGACAAAGTTTAGATTTTTTTTACAGTTTTTTTTGAATATTGAAAATAATTTGGATTTTAATTTAATTCTAGCTTAAATTCTAAAGCTCACTTTTATACTTGAAATAAATAATTTTAACTTTGCAATTCAGTTTATATAATTCTTAGAAATATGAGAAAAGGTCCTTTAGTTGTAACTCCGCTTGATTAAGTTTTGATTATTTACTTTCCATGTAAACATATATAAAGGTCGTCGTCCAATTCATAAGCGCTTATATATTGTCTATAAAATACGAATAATGAAAGTTACAGTATTTATAATAATCCTTTTGAAAACATTTAATACTCTTTGAATATTTTGTTACGGTACAGGATGTTCCAGCAATTTGCCTTAAGGCACGATGCCATACACCACTAGTTAATGACTTGTTCAATGAATGATTTTTCGATTTTAATTTTAGTACTATTTTAAATTTGAGACCCCAATAAATTCTTGGCGACAACTGCACCTGAATTTGTTTATCTAAGAATTTTATAAAATATACATTATATATAAATATGTATACATAAGAAATTACTCATAAGAAATATTATAAACATTCACATTTACTGTAGATACAAATTTATAAACAATAGTTCATATTCTAATATAGCAACAAATTTTTCTCAGTGATGGGGAAAATATAAAATGATATAAATAATTTAACTTACGAAGATTCGAGCTCATTATCAATAGATTGGAGATTGAAATCAAAAACTAGTGGTGTGTGGCATCATGCCGTTAAGAAAATTGCTGGAACTTCCCGTACCGTAATGAAATATTCGAGGAATATTGAATGTTTTCAAATAGATTATTATAAATGATGTAACTAATACGAATACGATGTAATTATTTGTATTTTATAGACTAAATATAAGAGCATATGATTTTGACGTAGACGTTTATATATGTTTTCATGAAAAGTAAATAAACAAAACTTGATCAAGCGGAGTTAGAATGAAGGACCTTATCTCATATTTCTAAGAATGTTATAAACTGAATTGCAAACTTAAAATTATTCATTTCAAGTATATAAGTGAGTTTTAGAACTTTAGCTAGAATTAAAATGAAATTTAAAAAATTGCAAATTTAAAAAATAATAATTTTCAAATCAAAATTTTTTTTTCTCTTCCTTAAAAAATAATCGTTTTGTCAATAAAAGCAAAAGGTTATTTGAATTATTCGAATAACATGCTTTGTTCTCTCAAAAACTACATTTTTTGCACTTTTTTCTCCGTATCTATGAAATGGCTGGACCTGCCTTTGCTAAAAACTAATCACCACTTCTTTCCATCCTTAGAAATTAATTGTTTTTTGCATCATTCAAATCGGATACTCCGTTCTCTCAAAAACTCGATTTCTATTTTCTGCACTCTTTGCTCCTTATCTCCTAAACGGCTGGACCGACTTTTGCCAAAAACTAATCATTCAATCAAACAATCAATTTGTGAGTTTCAGTTTAAACTTCGTGTGCTTCTTATAAAAATATACTAAAAATGTATTAATTCTCAAAACTTCAGAAATAATGTTTCAATCAATTTTGTGATTATAGACAAATAATAAAATATTATTAAATACACATTATTGATCCATAATATATAATAATAGTGAAGTTTAAAAAAACGTTACTGAATTGTTTAATAGCTAATCTAAAATGAAAATGAAAATAAATACACAAAAGAAAGAATGAAATTTAGCTTATTTTTCATGTCTTCCTATCAATAGGAATCTAATATATTTTGAATCATTCAAATCGGTTGACCCGTGTGCCAGAAAACGTTGACGAAAAATTATATTCACACAAAACACACACATAATTTTTTTCTAATTGTAAGGTATGCCAAAATTTTCAGAAACCTCTGAAACGTAAAGATATGCAAACATTTTTATTTTCAATTTTTGGACAATGGCTATAACTTACCCTACGGGAAGTTAATAAAATATTTATTCTTTTAGCTGCTGGTTTTGGCACTGGTTTCACATTCGGAGCAGCAGCTTCTACACCTGGTGCCACTGGATTTGGAGCCACAGCCGCAAATACTGGTAAAAATATGTAATATATATATATATATATATATATATATATATATATATCTTCTATATAAATAAAAATAAGTCGGGTTTTCTTTCCTGACGAAATAACTCCAGAACGCACGAACCGATTTCGACAATTTTGCATTCGTTGGAAAGGTTAGTGGCGCATGGCATCGTGCCTTAATGCAAATTGCTGGAACTTTACGCACCGTAATTAAAAATTCGAGTAATGACATTAGTGAGAATTATCAGAATTATGCTTGGTTAAGTCAACGAACAATTCTTGCCACAAAGAATAATGATGTACACGCATTGAATTTCACCATTCTATCAAAAATTGCTAGCGATTTGGTGACATACCAATGATTCCGACTGGTCTTTTCGTTTGACTTCAAACGATTGCAATTTCCAGTTCGCCTTGCGTTCGCAATAACAAGTCGCAAGGCCAATTGCTTAGTGTTTGCGGGATAAATTTCAAATAGATTACTTAGAAAATCATTGTTTTTCACATGGGCAGTTATACGTTGCCTGTTCACGAGTTGGAAAACCATCCGCTTTGTTTCTCTTAACGTTAGACCAAAAAACAAAAAATGTGGTTTACCAAAGAGCACTTCAATGAAACGGATAATTTTTTGCTTCTAAATAATGATACAAAAATAAAACAAATTACTTCATCTATATTTCTGAATATTTATCTTATTATCATTTTGTCTTATTTTATTTCATTTATTATTTATCTTTTTTTTCACAGGTGCTCCTGCATTCGGTGCCCCAGCTGCCTCGAGTGCTCCAGCATTCGGATCCACAGGTTTTGGCACAAACACAGGAACAACAGGATTTGGTCAAACTGGAACTGCTTTTGGAGCTACTGGAACTACTTTTGGTGCTGGAACCACAGGAACTCCTGCATTCGGAGCTCCTGCTGCGGGCACTACTGGATTCGGAACAAACACAGGTACAAAGATAAATGAAATAGATAACTAGTGGTGTATGGCATCGTGCCTTGAGGCAAATTGCTAGAAACTTCCCGTATCGTAATGAAATATTTGAGAAATTTTAAACGTTTTCAAATATATTATTACAAATACTGTAACTTTCATTATTTTTGCTATCATGTTATATCTGAGCAAATCAGATGTAAATCATAAATCGATATCTCCAGAACATTAACAATCGTCATTTCATTTCGAAATCAATTTAAAAAAAAATAGTTGCCTAATTTACATAAAATTGAAAAAGTGCTCCCGCATAGTCATAGTCTAAACGCATTTGCAAATAATTCTGTGCGACATTTTCACTTATACTGTGCTTAGCTTCGCGGCATTTTCACATTTTTCAACAGTTTTCACAAAATTGAAATAGTGCTTCCTACATAAACAGTCTAAACGCACTTGGGTAAACATTTGTACCAGAGTGGCGCTTAGACTGTGCTTAGTCTGGGTCATTTTTTGAATTTTCAATCCAAAATTACAAAAATATTTTATGGAAAATAAAACAGGTGTAATAATTTTTTATCCTCAAAAGCAATTGTTTTGTCAATACAAGCAGAAAGTGTTTTTAGATCATTCGAATCGGACGCTTAGTTCACTCGAAAACAGCCGTTTTTTGCACATTAGAGCTCTGTATCTTCGAAATGGCGGGACCTGTCTTTGCCAAAAACTAATCACCTCTTCTCCCAATCATTACAAATTGAATGTTTTTTAGATCAATCAAATTCGATACTCTGTTCTCTCAAAAACTCGATTTGTATTTTCTGCACTCTTGCTCCGTATCTCCGTAACGGCTTGACCTGCCTTTGCCAAAAACTAATCAGCACATCTCTCTAGGGGTATAGTATAGGGATCGAATGTTTTTTAAACCATTCAAATCGGTTGATCCGTGCTCCCAAAAACGTGAACGAAAAGTTGTATTCATACATACATACACACATACACACATATTCATTTTTTCTGTGGTATGCCAGTAAAATGTTCAGAAACCTTCAAAATGTCGAGAAATGCAAAAATTTTCATTTCCCTACGGGAAGTTAAAAATACAAGCAGTCAATGAATGCATGTTAATTTTAATTACATGAAGTTCTTCAAACGCAATTATTACATGATGAGTGAAGTTGCCAAAACAATATTTGTTTAGGCGTTGTTTAACATAATCCACTGTGTGAACGAATATTATAGAATTTATTAATTTGCAATTACTTCATTTCTCTAATGAAGGTTAATTTCTAAATGCTAATTACAATGACAAACCGATCATGTCATATTTGAAGTATGACTTTTAATTACATTATTGTTTTCAGATATTATACATATTTTTAATGCTATCATAAATATATAATTTATAATTTATCATTATATAAATGTGTATAATGGTCGACACTAATAAATGTGTGCATCAAGAGAGTCTTACCATATTACTAATGAACATTGTTCAAAATGTTATATGATGTATTTATTTTTACATAAATGCCATCTTGTACAGTAGCAAATAAGTTTTACTTCAATCGCGTGTGATCCTTATGCGCACTCTTTTTTTATCAATTTTTTATTTTTTCTAGGTACAACCTTTGGTGCTCCAACCAGCACTGCTTTCGGAACAGGGACAGGTTTTGGTACGGGTACTGCTACTGGTTTTGGTACAAGTACTACTGGTTTTGGGACAAGTACTACAGGTTTTGGTACAGGCACCACTGGTTTTGGTACAGGAACTTCTACTTTTGGTACAGGCACCACAGGTTTTGGTACAGGAACTGGTACAAGTTTTGGGACGGGCACCGGGTTTGGTACAGGAACTACTTTTGGAGCAACTACAAGTCAAGGTGATAATGAAGATTTAAAAAATATTTGGGAGAGATTTGTTTTAAAGATTTTGTTCATTATTTGACCATCCTGTTTGAATGGACCAAAGATATGTTGTTACAAGATAGTTTCCAAAAATGTATAGAAGTTTGTGATCCACCGAGATGCTGCCGAACTCTATTAAATACTTTGCACTTTGTTTATATTTTTGAAGGATTAGACATATTAAGATAATAGCTATATCAGACCGATTAAAAGATGATAATTAGTTTAATTGTTGTGCATTTAAATGAAATAATACAATATTAATATTTATAGATGATATGTTACTTAGTTGAAGTTTGAATTAATACTGATGTTTGTTAGATGGCATTTAGATACTACTAAATTATAATGATTTTACAATTTTATATGATTTTTCTGATTGGTTTGTTTTTGTGGGTTCAAACGACATGGCATTACATTTTTGACCAATCAGGTATTAACCGGTTATTCCATGGTACGTAGAATTCAATCGGGAACAGGTCATTAAATGTTCTTAGAAAAATGGATTAATGGTATGATGATAATTTTAAGGACAGAATGCATGACAATGAGAGGGATTATTTAATATTTCGAAATTATATAATAAGGGATGAGGGTTTATTATTTCTATCCTGTATGAAGGTAATAAAATATAACTAGTGGGGTGGGTGGCATCGTGCCTTAAGGCAAATTGCTGGAACTTCCCGTGCCGTAACGAAATGTTCGAGGAATACTGAATGTTATCAAATAGATTATTCTAAATATTGTAACATTGTCTAATATTTATAAGAATTATATGAACTGAATTGCAGAGTTGAAATTGTTTGTTTAAAGTATTAGAACTATAGTCAAAATTAATAATAAAATTTGAATTATTTTCGATATACAAAAATTTAAGAAAAATGAACAAAATTTTTTTTTTCCAAAATCAATTATTCTGTTAAGACAAGCGGAAAGTTCTTTGAATCAATTGAATCGGACGCTTAGTTCTCTCAAAAACTGCCATTTTTTGTACATTTAGCTCCGTATCTTCGAAATGGCTGGGCCTGCCTTTGCGAAAAACTAATAACCACTTCTCCCAATCATTACTAATTGAATGTTTTTTAGATCATTCAAATCGGATGCTCCGTTGTCTTAAAAACTCGATTTTTATTTTCTGCACTCTTTGCTCTTTATCTCCGTAACTGCTGGACCTGCCTTTGCCAAAAACTAATCAGCACATCTTCTTATCAATAGGAATCAAATGTTTTTTGAACCATTCAAATCGGTTGATCCGTACGCCCGAAAACGTGGGCGAAAAATTGTATCCATAAATACGTACACACACACACACACACACACACATCCATTTTTTCTGAGGTATGCCAAAATGTTCAAAAACCTTCAAAACGTCGAGAAATGTAAAAATTTTCAATTCCGATTTTCGGCTCATTACAATAACTTACCCTACAGGAAGTTAATAATATTATTTCATTAGACTAGGGTTGAGTAAGGCATTAACAGATTTTGTTGAATTATTTCAGCGCCTACTTTAGGAGCATTTGGTCAACCTGCTTCTGGTTCGTTATTTGGTGGTACATCGACTGCTCCTGCTTTTGGAACTGCAGGTAAATAATAAATTTATCATATTCGGGGACGTCCTTTAATCACGTGACCGACTTTTCAAGGCTTTTTGATATGTTCAAAAAATTTCCTTCTCCCCCACCAAATACATGAAAAAATTGTAAAATTTTTGAATTTTTCTGAAAATGTTAGGATTTTAAAAAAAAAATTGAGGTAAAAAATAAATTTCTTCATAAAAATACTCGTTTTATCTTACTATACCCCTCCCTTCGTCACGTGATATTTTGTGGTTTTTTATCAACCTCCCCCACATTTTCCCTAAAAACGTCACGTGATTACTTGACGCCTCCTTATCGTGTACAAAAATTTACATTTGAGTTCTAAACTGTACAAGAAACAACAAGTTGTTTTATAATCTTTGTATTTATTATTTTAGGTTCAACATTCGGCAAACCAGGAGGAGCATTTGGTGGCTTTGGTACTGGCTTATCAACATTTGGGCAAACCCAACCATCACTTCTTGGACAGGTATTAATACAACTCCATAAAATTGCATCAATAAAATATTTTTATATTTATATATTTATTTATTTCTTCAGCCTCAACAGCAACAGCAGCAGCAGCCTCCGAATCCTGTCGAAGCTCTAGCCAATTCTGTTCTAAATTGCTGTGTGTATGGAGATGATCGAGACAGCACACTTGCACGATGGAATTATTTGCAAGCCGCTTGGGGCACAGGTAAAAAAATAATAAACAATTAGATGCATTTGAATTCTATGTTTTATTTCTTTTATAGGTAAAGGCTATTATTCCAGCAATGCTCCTCCAGTTGAAATCAATCAGCAGAATCCAATGTGCCGATTCAAAGCTATCGGTTACAGTGCAATGCCTGGTAGAGACAACCGAGAAGGCATTGTTGCTATATTTTTCAACAAAAAGGAAGCTGATGTTAAGTAAGTTAAAATAAAGGACAGATTCTGCTGTGTAACAGAAAAATGTTACGGCAAGGCCATGTTAGGGTCCAACTTGCATACATTATGATACTGAATCATACTGAATGGTGTCAAAATGTCATGTATTTGCTGTGCATTCAGGTGTTTTACACATAAACTGCAATGTTACTCGTATGTTATGAAGCTGGGTCAGAAACACCCTGTTATCTAAGATTGTGTACATTTTCTAGGTTATGTTTTCTATCTGACAACCTGAGAAATACGCCTGATCGCACAGCAACTACATGGTTTTTGTCAATATTTTGTAAGGCAAGTTCTTCATAACATAGCCTTGCCATAACATTGGTCTGTAATGCGGCAGAATCGATAAATATAGTAAGCATATTTACTTGTTCTTAACTTGGGTTTTCTTTTGCAGAAGTCAACAACCACAATTGATCGCAAGTTTGAACAATGTTTTAGGAAACAAACCTAACTTAAACATAAACATCGATGGTATCAAAAGTTTATCAGAGAACAAAACACAAGTTAGTATATAAATATAAATAACTATTTATTATTAATATATTTATTTCATGTATTTTTTTTCTGTTGCAGGTTTTGATCTTTGTCCAAGAGAAGACAGCAACCAATACACTAAAAAAGATTCCAGCGACTGAATTGCATGCTTTCTTGCTGCAACCGATGCAGAAGCAGCAGCTGGGTGCTTTGGGTGTTGATAATGTATTGCCTCATGTTTTGCCGGACCAGGATCAGATTAAGGAGTATTTGGAGACACCTCCAGACGGTAAGGGAATAAATGATAACAAGAAACTGATTACATTAGAATATAGATTTATTGAAATAGAGAAATTTGTATGGAAATAAGTTTGTGTTAATATTATTCATTTCTTTTGCAGGAATTGATCCTAGATTATGGAAACAAGCACAAGCTGATAATCCAAATCCGGCGAAATACATACCCGTGCCCATGGTTGGATTTTCAGAGGTAAGCACCTATGTTTCTTAACATAAAATTAGCATAACGGATTTTCTGGCAAAAACATAAACTCAGGAAGTTAAAAAACGCATAACATTTGCCAAAATCATTAAAACTTTAATACATCCATTTACAAAACAACTGTACAATTTAACACCATCATCGTCTGTTCTCTTAAGACATCTGTGTCTTGGAGCATCTACAAACTGCATTGTAATCCCCCGCATGATCCATCATCATCGAAGCAGAAGCATGTGCTGCATTGCTGACCGAAGTGGCAGCAGCTAGGGCTTGATTGCTTACTGCAGAAGCCCCTAAGACACCATCTTCACAATAGGAGGCGTAGGAACTCTTTAAAACCGAAACGTGGTCTCTTAGGGCTTCGATTTCGGTCTGGGCTTCTCGGAAACGCTCCATGAGAGTATTTAACTGAAATAGAGGATATGTTTGAAATTTATGAGAATGAAATCATCTATTACACAGGCCAACAAAAAAAATTTTTTTTTGGTGCATTAAATGTTAGAACTGATTCCATAGACCTTATACAATACATGGACTGCTAGTTGAGCGCATAAAAAGTGTCAAAAGATGTTCTATGGTATGAGGGCATACGAGGGTAATTTCGCGGCCGAGATATGTCAAATACGAACACGAACTTTACCGAGATTAGTCGAATGCACTCGATCGCTTAAATTTTACAGTTACTTGGGTTCACGTGATGTTTGATCGCTCGGGTTTTTAAACTAAAAGAGGATAAAAATATACCTGTTGTAAAATTGTTAAAAGTAAAATGTCTTCTAAAAAGGTCTGTAGTAAAGTTCCTGATTGCAGTAAAACCTGTTCTGAATGCTTCGCAAGTATTCCGGGAAATTCGACATTCATCGATATAAAAAATCGAGGATATCTTTCATATCCTTCCGATGAAATGTTTAAATTATATTTATATATAGAAACCCTAATTCGAAATTCTTTAAATTTAATGTACAAAAGTTCATATGAAAGCACGATTCTCCGAAAGTTGAATGACTTGGGACTTGCACATTTTTTTAGATCCAGCAATTTGTCCAGCACTATCATGACCTTATCAACTTTGTTGCAAAAATGTATTTAACAATTAGAATGCACCATGAAGAACATAAAAAAAGCAAAGTTGATAAATATGTACGCCACTTTCACACAAAAATTGTGCTTTTTAAACATCAATAATAAATATATTACATTTAAACAAATATTTCATTGTTGCTTTCTAATTTCCCATAATAGCTCTAGCCAACTGTTCTTATTTTCAGTGAATTTTATAATGTGTAAAATATTTTTTTAATTTTTTTTCTTATTTTCCTTAAACACTTTGTATAACTAAAATAAATAAATAAATATATAAATAGTTCATTACATTCATTAGTTTAACATAAATTGTATATTATATAATATTTTCCCAACAATTTCGAACACACGGACTTTCATTTGACGTTCAAGCGATTGAGTTTGACATATCTCGGCCGCAAAATTACCCTCGTTTGCCCTCATACCATAGAACATCTTTTGACACTTTTTTACTTGAGAAATGTATGGGGACTAGCAGTCCATGAAATTGTATAAAGTCTATGACTGATTCTTATAGTATTTTTTGCGCTGATTTCAAATCTGCCAACCATTTTTTTGTATCAGCTCTAGTTTTTGAGATACAAAAAGTTGCCGAAACCAGGTCCATTCGAGGTCGTCAGGTAAAAGAACTTTTCACAGTGACAACTAATGTCCCAACTAAGGCCGAATGGATCTTGTAAGTTTGTATGTACGAGCAGGCATATCTCATTAAAATAACATTCTGAATTGTATTACTATTTTGTATTTTCATTCCTTATATTAGGTGCGCAACTAAGTTCTCGCTGTTTGTCAGTATATGGCTCTAGTAGTGAGGGTTGGTCGATTTTGACAAATCCAAAACGTCTTGAAGCAAGCTTAGAGTAAGTAAACAAACTGCTGCGACACATAATTGATTTCGTTTTTGCATTATATACTTCTGGTTAAGTGAATATGTCCAATTTTATGCCAAACAATCGTCATTTGCGGAGAGTGTTGATTTTCGTCTTCCATTCAAAAAAAGGGAGCTCAAATGCATCCAAAGATACGGAAATGTTGCTCTGAGCGAAACAACATGCCGTGAAAGGTCGATTCAAAAATGGTGATTTTGATGTTGACGACCACCCTCGTGAAGAAAGGCCAAAACCTTCAAAAACGCTAAATTAAAGGCCTTGTTCAAAGAGGATTCGTGCCAAACTCAAGAAGGTCTTGCTTTAGAATTAGGAGTTACCCATCAAGCCATTTCCAAGCTATTGCATGCGTTGGGGATGATTTAGAAGCAAGAAACTTCGGTTCCTTGTGAGTTGAAGCCAAGAGAGATCGAGCGTCGTTTTTTCGCCTGTAAACAACTGCTCCAGCGGCGAGAAAAGAAGAGGTTCTTCATCACATCGTGACAGGTGATAAAAAATGAATACAATACAGCAATCCAAAGAGGAGAAAATCTCGGTTCGGCCGAATATTCACTGCAAAGGTTATGCTCTACATATGGTGGGACCAGGTCGGTGTTATTTGTTATGAGCTGTTGAAACCGAGTGAAACCATCACTGGAGAACTGTATCTAACTCAATTGATGCAATTTTTTATAATAAAGTTACTTTTCATCGAAAAAACAGCGAGAACTTAGTTGCGCACCTAATATCGTAAAATATATCATATATATCGTATCTTGAAAACTAAAGCTCATAGAAAAAAACCAATGTCATTTTTGAAATCAGCGCCCCAAATATACTTAAAAACAGTATTAAAATCGTTTGCACCATTTTCTTTGTTGACCTGTGTTATCAATTGTTTGTTTTTAGTTGTCTTTTCTCACCTGCATTTGCATCTGTTTCCGAACCCTGTCCTTATCCTTTTGGGCAGCAGTAGCTGCGGCTCTGCTGTGGGCCAACTCCTGCTCCGCCCCTGCAACACGTTCTTGCAGAGCACGCTTCTGGGTTTCAAAACGTTCACGTAGACGCTGTTGCTGTCTTGTGTTTTCCTCTTTTGTAGACTCTGATAGAAAAGCATTAAAAAAATAGAATAGTATAAAATTTACTTCTTCAAAGTTTGAGAGAAATTTCTATCTATTTACCCAATTTTTTAGCCAGTTGAGATTGCTCTGCCAATTTCAATTCCAATTGTTGCTTCCGGGCCAAGTTTGTGGCCAAGGATGTCTTCACACAATCGTTTTCCACCTTGAGTTCACTATATTTGGTTTGCAGATCTCGAAGAACAGTCTTCAGTCTCTCGTTTTCGTCAACTGCAGATTTGTGGATTTCTTTCGTGTACTTGAAAAAAATGAGTTAATTGATAATTTTTTCATTTTTAACTTACCGTAGGGTAGTTATAATAATGGGCCGAAAATCGAAAATGGAAATTTTTGCATTTCTCGACGTTTTGAAGGTTTCTGAACATTTTACTGGCATACCTCAGAAAAAATGGATGTGTGTGTTTTGTATGTCCGCATTTTTTCGTCCACGTTTTCGTGCGCACGGATCAAACGATTTGAATGGTTTAAAAAACATTCGATCCCTATTGACAGGAAGATGTGCTGATTAGTTTTTGGCAAAGGCAGGTCCAGCCGTTACGGAGATACGGAGTAAAGAGTGCATAAAATACAAATCGAGTTTTTGGAGAACAGAGTCTTGGATTTGAATGATCTAAGAAACATTCAATTTGTAATGATTGGGAGAAGAGGTGATTAGTTTTGGGCAAAGGCAGGTCCCGCCATTTCGAAGATACAAGGCTAAATGTGCAAAAAATGACAGTTTTTGAGTGAACTAAGCGTCCGATTTGAATGATCTAAAAAACTTTCTGCTTGTATTGACATAACAATTGCTTTTGAGGATAAAAAATTGTTACACTTTTTTCATTTTCCAAAAAATATTTTTGTAATTTTGGATTAAAAATTCAAAAAATTACCCAGGCTGAACACAGTCTAAGCCCCTCTCTGGTACAAATGTTTACCCAAGTACGTTTAGACTGTTTATGGAGCACTTTTCCAAATTTGCGGAAACTAAAACTATTGAAAAATGTGAAAATGCCGCCAAGCTAAGAACAGTATAAGTGAAAATGTCGCATAGAATTATTTGCAAATGCGTTTAGACTGTGACTATACGGGGAAGCACTTTTTTTTGAAATTGAATACGAAATGAAATGACGATTGTTAATATTCTGGAGATGAATTGATTTATGATTTACATTGGATTTGCTCGAAAACGTTTAAAATTTCTCGAATATTTCATTACGGTACGGGAAGTTTTAGCAATTTGCCTTAAGGCACGATGCCATACACCACTAGTTTAATTTTGTCTTACTTGTAGTTCATCATGCAGTCTCTTCTCCCTATCCCTGCTCTCGGCCAAATTCAGGGACAAAGAGCCAACGCTTTCCTCCAAGAGCGCCTTGTCCTGCTGCGTTTCCTGGCATTTCAATTGGGTCGCTTCCAAAATGAATGGAAGTGGAGACAACTCCTACAAGGAACAACAATCAGTTAATTGCTAATAGACGGAAAAACTTAAAAAAAAAATAAACTGAAGACTGTAGTCTTTAAAAATGAAATTAATCTCTTCTACCTGTATTTTTTCCTGGAACAGTTTCTTCACCCTTTGCAACTCCTGGTTGACATGTTCGCTGGCCTTGGCATTGTCTCGTTTGAGACGTTCAATAATACACTGCTGCTCCTCCGCAGTCTGCTGCGCCTGCAGGTACTTGGTACGGTACTCTGTCATCTGCTCCGTCATGTCTTCGGCGTTTGCTTTGTAGTCTTCCACTTTGTCGGACAAAGTCTGAAAGAAAAAAAGACTTACTTTGTCACTAGTGAATCATTAAACTAATTATGAGTGGTGGTAATTGAACGTGGATGACCTGGAACACTCTTTTTGGTTCGTGGTTCTTATTATTACCTGTTGTAATTGCCTAAGTTCCTCCAGCTCCCTTTGCTGGCTTGCCATCAGCACCTGCTGCTGCTGCTGTCCTGGTTCACCTCCGCCTGATGAAGCAAAGGGTCCTCCGTTTGCTCCGCAGCAGCAGACGCAGTTTGGAGGCGGCTCCAGCTGCTGTCGCACCCGGCGAACTTCTCGCAACTCCTTCTGCAGCATTGCGATCTCTTCTTCCATATGGGAAACTGAAATTGGGGAAAAAGACTTAGTAGTTTATTAGGGAATTGGAATTATGGTTCAGGGTATCGAAACTCGAATTATAGGAACCGTTCAGGAACCTTATTAGTTGTTTATGAAAAAGGAAGCCCTGACAATTTGCTTTATGTGGGGTAAGGTTGCTCAAGTCGTACCACCTCTTAAGTCGTACCACCTCCTAAGTCGTACCCCAGCTATATTTTGTCTGATAATTATAAATTATAATTCGGTATTGTTCAATAGAACTATTTACTTTACTAAGCAAGCATTTGCAGAAATAATCAAAAAGTAAGTAAAAGTGAATTGAGCAGTTTTTAACTTCCCGTAGGGTAAGTTATTGTAATGGGCCGAAAATCGAAAATGAAAATTTTTGCATTTCTCGACGTTTTGAAGGTTTCTGAACATTTTGGCATACCTCAGAAAAAATGGATGTATGTGTGTGTGTGTATGTATGTATGTATGGATACAAATTTCCAGTCACGTTTTCGGGCGCACGGATCAACCGATTTGAATAGTTCAAAAAACATTCGATTCCTATCGATGGGGAAAAGAGCTGATTAGTTTTTGGCAAAGGCAGGTCCAGCCGTTTCGAGGATACGGAGCAAAGAGTGCAGAAAATAGAAATCGACTTTTTGAGAGAACGGAGTATCCGATTTGAATGATCTAAAAAACATTTTAATTAGGAATGATTTGGAGAAGCGTCTATTAGTTTTTGGCAAAGGCAGGCCCAGCCATTTCGAAGATACGGAGCTAAATATGTAAAAAATGGCAGTTTTTGAGAGAACTAAGCGTCCGATTTGAATGATTCAAAGAACTTTCTGCTTGTCTTAACAAAATAATTGATTCTGGAAAAAAAAATTTTGTTTCATTTTTTTTTTTTAATTTTTTGTGTATCGAAAATAATTCAGATTTTATTTTCAATTCTGACTATAGTTCTAATATACTTTAAACAAATAATTTCAACTTTGCAATTCAGTTTATATAATTCTTATAAATATTAGACAATGTTACAATATTTATAATAATCTATTTGAAAACATTCAGTATTCCTCGAACATTTCGTTACGGTACGGGAAGTTCCAGCAATTTGTCTTAAGACACGATGCCACCCACACGACTAGTTACTAATATTTTGGACATAATCCGTTGTAAGTCTATTATCTTAAGTATATGATTCTGTCATTTTTTTAATGTTTATTAATATTACTTATTTGGCAATTGTTTAGGTATATTTAGGGGCAAATTCTCGATAAGATATAAATGCTATGGTAATGCTATATTCGTATGATGTATTTGGTGTTCAAAACACACACACGTCAAATAACAATTTCATCATGAGTGCAACTTCCTGACGTCTCTTTGATAATATATACGTGAAGTTAGGTTATTGACAGCTTATTGACAGTTTGTTTCTATCAACTCATACGAAGATAGACCCGTAACTGAGCACTACCTTAATATTTTTGTGTTATCTGGGAATAAGCCCCTTAATACAATACCAGTTAAATATAATATATTCCTTTCCCTTACCTGCATTTTCCATAGGATCAGAATTCACGCAACACAATTGTTGGTTCATATTTTTATTTAAAAAAACTTAAAAATCAATTATAAAAATATATTTCATAAAACAATAAAATTTTTGACAATTCACTTTAAAATTTTTGCGTCATCACAAGTAGTTACATTTATAATATTTTTGGTAAATAATTTTTTTGCTCATGTATAGTTTTTGTACGGTCGATAAAAATATTTGAAAAAAGAAAGTGCAATGTAAAAAAGCACTTTGGGTAAAACTAAATTTGTTTTTGTTTAACTAAAATATTATTTTGTTCGTTTTAATTCGTGGCTTACTTGATATATGTATTAGAGATGGATAACTCAGTCCGGAGTTATCACTCCGATACAACTCCTCCCTTGGAGTGAATCGGAGTTTAGTTGTCTCAAAGGATTTGTCATATCCGACTTTCCTAAACTGGTACTAAATCTGTTAACACTTGCAGGCATTTGCTTAAGATTTTTTACTAATACAAAGATTTGGGTCGAAAGAAGTGGTTTTTATCTCGTCTCACAGCCAATTTTAGGACTTTCCAGGTGTATAATGTCTTAAAATAATGCTATTTTGTATTCTATATTCTGTATACGATAATGTTTGTCGGTAAATGAGTTCTTTTAATGGTATACTACCAGGTAATAAATAATTAGTATTATATTACAACTTTTACACAATTATGATTTTATAATGTATAAAAGTAATAGCATGCTAATAAAACTACCTGATGTATAATTAATTCTCGAAAAGGAAATAATAAATGAATGTGAGGTATTATTTATTTTTGAAATATATTATACACAAAGATTTGTTCTTATTTCATATATGTGCCCATAATTATGAAAGTGGTCTAAGTCATATATTTCTTGTTTCAAGATATTTATTGAATTGCATTTGAATATATTAAAAAATATTATATTATGAATATGAAATTTTGTGTGAATTTCATACGATAATATTGTTTTTAAAGTTTGAATTGACTTAGACCATTTTCAAAATTAACTGAATGTCCTATAAATGACTTAAAGCAATGAAGAACTTTGAGTTTTATTTGAAACAATAATTTTATTGAAATAATTCGTGAGCATTTATTAACTATTTATTATTATTTTCAAACGGTAATCCATTTTTATCATTATTTCGAGTATTAAAGATTCTTAAAATGTTCCTGAAAAACCAAATATCTTTGTTTTTCTTTCGATACTGGTCTAATGCTGGTGTATAATGTAAGTAATTTAATATTTCCGTATATTTTTGGTCTTCCTCTTTTAGGTGAAAGATCCAAAACGTGAAATTTAGAATCATCTAAAGAAGTTTTATAAAACACTTTATAAGGTTCATTTTTCAAGAATCTCATCCATTGAATTTGCAGCCAAGAGACAGATTCGCCCGCGGTATTTTTTACTATTCTTGTTATTGTATCTTTAGTCCAGTCATTTGGTGCAAAGAAAGGCTGTTGCCAGTACAGTACTCCGGGAATTCTGAAAATTGGTAATCTCATGGATTTCGAGGTGCTCTTTACGAAAATCAACTTTGCCACCTCAAATTTGAACGGCAAGTTGCCGCCATATTGGAAAAATGGCGTCAAACAACAGCTTTTCTAAAATATCTCCTTTCTGGCTGATTGTGCGATAAAAGTATCTATGTACGAATTAAACTAGATAAAATTACCTACAATTCCTTAGAAAACCGTTTTTTTGTAAAATTGATAGTTTGAGAGTACGGCCGCCTCAAAGTCTTTGCTGCTCTCGCCATAGTATCAAATCTCTCCATATATGACAGCACTTCGAACTTGACCACATTCTCTCTAATAATTAAAATTTTCAATGTTAAATTAAGCGAATAAGATCTAGAAATAAAATAATTCAAATATTTTTCGTTTTTTTTGCTAATTTTTTAACACTTCAATGGCAAAATAGCTATAGGTATACTTATAGCTTGAGTAGCACCTTACAGCTTCAAGTAGCTTGAAGCGTTAAAAAATCACCAAAAAAACAGAAAAATATTTGAATTATTTCATTTCTAGATCTTATTCGCTTAATTTAACATTGAAAATATTTATTTATTAGAAGGAATGTGGTCAAGTTCAAAGTGCTGTCATATATGGAGAGATTTGATACTACGGCGAGAGCAGCAAAGACTTTGAGGCGGCCGTACTCTCAAACTATCAATTTTACAAAAAAACGGTTTTCTAAAGAATTGTAGGAAATTTTATCTAGTTTAATTCGTACATAGATACTTTTATCGTAGAATGAGCCAGAAAGGAGATATTTTGAAAAAGCCGTTGTTTGACGCCATTTTTCCAATATGGCGGCAACTTGCCGTTCAAATTTGAGGTGGCAAAGTTGATTTTCGTAAAGAGCACCTCGAAATCTATAAGATTACCAATTTTCAGAATTCCCGGAGTACTGTACCGGCAAAACGACAAAATGACTGGACTACTTCTAATGATTTCGTTGAAATAAAATCCGGCTGCGACATTCGCTTTATCGAAAATGTATTGCTTCTTCTGCACTTTTCTATCAATTCATAATAATGCTCAGGGTTGTATAAGTAATTTGCTTTTTTTATTTTCATTTCTATCAACCCAAAACCACGATCATTCGGTAGAAAGGAATGACCTGACACCAAAAATTTTTGACTTAGACCACTTTCATAATTAACACTAAATGAATTCCATATAATGTTGAAATTACAACCACTATCTAATGGTTCATTTTTGACAATTTCGTAAAAATTACATTGATTACATTTAGTTTAAACTAATGTGGTATGAAATAACTGATAAACTCTTTTTTTTTAATTTTGACTTAGAACTGCATTATTTTTATATAAAAATAAATATATTCAAAGAATTCTATATTTTTTCTTCAGAAATAATTACAAAATTGATTTTGATTCCCAAGTTTTTTGTCAATTTGAGATTTGCATGCATATTGAAATGCATGAAATAGTAATTATTATAATAAAATGAACAAAAACGTTTGAATTATTTGTAAACTATTTTCAAAATTTTCAATAAATTCTTAGATATGTTAAGATCACATTTGTGTCAAGTATTATTTTTCAAAGTTGTCGGAGTTGTGGAGTTGTTAAGTGGATATAACTCCTCTCCGAAGCGGAGTCAGATCCTAAACGATCCGGCTTCGGATATGATAAACCCATTTCTAATATGTATAATTTTTTTCTTAGGTGAAGTGGCGCATGAAGTGCCAGGAGGAGGAGACTAAGCGACACCAGGCGTTCCTGGACAGGGTCGCCGAAGACATCTCGGCGCTCCAGAGAAAACACACTGCCACTGGTGCCAAATTGGCGGAGCAGCACAGGAAGTATGCGGAGTTGCAGCATCGATTGTTACAGGTAATAATTGATAAGTAACTGGGTGTAAGTGGCATTTAGCTATCAGGTTCAAAAGGCTTTCTAACTTCCCGTAGGGTAGTTATAGTAATGGGCCGAAAATCGGAATTGAAAATTTTTACATTTCTCGACGTTTTGAAGGTTTCTGAACATTTTTAAGGGGCATACCTCAGAAAAAATGGATGTGTGTGTGTGTGTGTGTATGTATGTATGTATGTATGGATACAAATTTTCGCCGACGTTTTCGGGCGCACGGATCAACCGATTTGAATGGTTTAAAAAACATTCGATTCCTATTGATAAGGAGATGTGCTGATTAGTTTCTGGCAAAGGCAGGTCCAGCAGTTAAGGAGATAAGGAGCAAAGAGTGCAGAAAATGGCAGGTCCAGCCATTTCGGAGATACAGAGCTAAATGTACAAAAAATGGCAGTTTTTGAGAGATACTTTCGATGAAGTAATATTTCCATCCCACCTCAAGCATCCAAAAAATTTTCCACTTTACAAGAAAAATAGTGAAGACGATATAAATAATTACCGCCCTATTTCCCTTTTGAACTCTTTCGATAAAATAATTTGCATACTAGATTAACGTCTTTTCTCATTAAATATAATATTTTGTTCAAGAATCAGCATGGTTTCCGGAAGAATCATTCTCCTTCCCACTCAATTTATAATTTAGTTCATAATATTATTAACTCCTTCGAAGAAGCCACATATTGTACTGCAATATTCTGCGATCTGTCTAAAGCTTTTGATAGTATTTCTCATCAAAGACTTCTTGATAAATTAGAAAATTGTGGTATTCGCGGACGTTCACTTAAACTATTCGAATCTTACCGAAAGCGTTTACTTAAATAATGATCACGAGCAAATAATTTCGGATAAATTGACAAGTACATTGGGTGTGCCCCAAGGATCAATTTTAGGGCCTCTCTTATTTTTCATTTATATTAATGATATACCTCATTGTACAAGTCTTTGTGATTTTATTCTTTTTGCGGATGACACCAGCGCTGTCATCAAAGAAAAGAGCTATTCGAATAATTTTTTCCTTGTCCAATAAAGCCTCCTGCAGACTCATATTTAAAAAACACAATATTCTAACTGTCCCATGCATTTTTCTGCTGGTAACATTAACTTTCATCAAAAACAATTCGAAACTTTTTGATATGGCTTCGTCCTCAAATTACAACACTAGACACAAACCTATTAAGGCGCGTACATATAAATTAGGCAGCTCTTTCAATACGATCGACGGTTTAGGTATTCAGCTTATGAATAAACTTCCACTCAATATCCGAAACTTAGACAGCAAAAAATTTCATGCTTCCCTAGTTAAACTTTTTAAAGACATAGCTTTTTATGACATTACTGAATTTTCTCAATTTGAATTCAATAACTATTTTCTTGCATAATCCTTATCCTTTATCTATGTAGTCTGACCATTTACTTCATCGAAGCATTTATTTAGACATAACATAAATTTATCTACGAAAAAGGATGGAATTCTTTAACAATAAGACTAGGGACCCGGACCCGCTGAACTAGTAACTTTTATCGATAGAAAGGTTTGATTTAGTTTTTCTAAATTTACAGGATAGAGAAAGAATGTAGAATTATTTCGCGCGGATAGAGAAATTTTGTCTTAAGACAAAGAATTAAAATTTAACTATCAGGTTTAAAAGGGTTAACTTTTCATTTTTTATTTTCAGGTTATTGTAAAACAAGAAACAACTCGTAAAGTTGGTCTGGCCCTGCAGCCTGAAGAAGAATTGCTCCGGAGTCAGTTGGAGTCGATGCAAGCACAAATATCTGCACCCACACAATTCAAAGTAAATATTTTATTTATAATATTGTAATTGTATATATTTATTGTTGAGTTGATAATAATAATTTAATATTTTAGGGACGTTTGAGTGAACTCTTATCACAAATCCGTATGCAGAGATGTCAGTCAAATGCTACACAGTATACTGAAAGATATAAAATGGACAAAGGTAATAATAATAATAAATATATGTATATATATATACATATATATATATATATATATATATATATACTAGATGACCCGACAGACGTCCTGTACCCGCATCTACAATTTTTTAATATCTTATACTGATATTTATCGTTTATCTAAAAATAATAATTGCTGTTTGTCAAATTACTCTTTACACCAAAATGCATATACATCAATATACTGTTCTTATTATTCTTTTTATTTCTACAATATTACTATTTTTTTATAATCACATACATTTTAAAAAAAATCCTTAACAAACTTCAGAAAGATTTATCAAAATCCGAATAACCGTTTAGGAGAAGTATCAAATCATACACTCGTGCAGAAGAATTTTATATATAAGATATGTATGTATGTATATATTATTTAAATCTTGGTTATCTTTTCCAGTGGTTCAAGATGAAATGAAAAGTTTCCTGGAAATGCAACAACGAGGCCTGTCTCGTCTAATCGAGACAGTCAACAGTGATCTCGACACCCTAAAAGTAATCTCTGATGGAATGACACAACTGTTGAGGGACCGAGGAGTATCATTATGATCTGTACAAGGTTTTTAACATAAAAAATTAAATTAATAATTGATAAATTAATCAGTAATAGTATATTTTTTTATAAAGGATAAATATGCCGAGCAATTTTTTATAAATTTTACATAGTTTGTGATTTTAACTCTTGTTGGATTTAAGTACAAAATATAGAATTAAGATTTTGCTGCAGATGCACTTTGATTATTTTTATCTCCTGGTTAGTTATCGAGATCTTGTTGGATGTTTGTTATTAGGATTCTATCGTGCTAAAAGTAATTGTTTTAAGTTTGTTAAGAATATACTTAAAGCTTTCATTGTCTCTTTGATTACTAAATAAATTAATTTATTTTGTAACTTTACCTTTAATTAATTAAAAACTTCTTTGCTTGTTAAAATTTACAACAAGCAATGTTATTTTATTATTATGAAGTAAGACAACAGTTTTTGTACAATTTAGATATATTCAAGTATGTTTTTGTAAAAATTAATTTAACGTTTTGATATTATAAGATTTTGGAGTCATTGCAAAGTTCTTTGTTGTTTATTGAATATATAAGAGATTAATTTCGGCAGATTTCATCTGCGTCGTTGTCAGATGTATTGAATTTTAGCTGATTTATTTTGCAAATTGAATGCAACGTTGTCAGATGTAAAATCAGATCAGATCATGGTAGTCTTAACTGGTATAAAAAATAACTAAAATCAATAATGAGCAATTCATAATTCAATCTAATGTTTAAAATATTTACAATATAATTAATTAATATAATTAAATAATTAATTGAATAATTTTTTAAAATTAACATAGTTACAAAAAAGTTAATATACGGCAACGGTGAGATTTATTTTTATTTTAATTGCTATTTTAAAGTACACCTGGTTGCTGTAGGGCATTACGATGTTAGACAATGTCTAAAAGAATTTAATTTTGTACAAACTTGTCGAATATTCTATTAAAATCAGATTTACCGTTTAAAAGTTACGAGACATGAAATAAATAAAATTAGTTATTGATGGGTCAAATGAGGGGTCAAAACGTCGTCACGACATACCTGTCCTGTGGGGTATCATTTACAAGGTCTCAACGGACTGAATTCAAATATGAAATGTTAAAACAATTCATCATACGTAAGATTTTATTTTAATTACTATTTTAAAGTACACCTGATTGCTGTAGGGCCTTATGATGTTAGACAATGTCAAAAAGAATTTAATTTTGTACAAATTTGTCGAATATTCTATTGAAATCAGATTTACCGTTTAAAAGTTACAAGACATGAAATAAATAAAATTAGTTATTGATGGGTCCAATGAGAGGTCAAAACGTTGTCGCGTCATATACGAGTATGTCGTGTGGGGTATCATTTTAAGGGTCTCAATGGACTGAATTCAAATATGAAATAATAAAACACTAGGGTTCCGTATTATTCATGTTTCTTCATACGAGAGATTTATTTTAATTTTAATTGCTATTTTAAAGTATACCTAGTTGCTGTAGGGCCTCATGGTGTTAGACAATGTTATAAAGTATTTAATTTAGTACAAATTTGTCAAAAATTCTATTTAAATCAGATTTATCGTTTAAAAGTTACAAGACATTAAATAAATAAAATTAGTTATTGATGGGTCAAATGAGGGGTCAAAACGTTGTCACGTCATATATGTCGTGTGGGGTATCATTTAAAAGGTCTCGACGGACTGAACTCAAATATGAAATAATAAAACACTAGGGTTCCGTATTATTCATGTTTCTTCATACGAGAGATTTATTTTAATTTTAATTGATATTTTAAAGTATACCTAGTTGCTGTAGGGCCTCATGGTGTTAGACAATGTTATAAAGTATTTAATTTAGTACAAATTTGTCAAAAATTCTATTTAAATCAGATTTATCGTTTAAAAGTTACAAGACATTAAATAAATAAAATTAGTTATTGATGGGTCAAATGAGGGGTCAAAACGTTGTCACGTCATATATGTCGTGTGGGGTATCATTTAAAAGGTCTCGACGGACTGAACTCAAATATGAAATAATAAAACACTAGGGTTCCGTATTATTCATGTTTCTTCATACGAGAGATTTATTTTAATTTTAATTGATATTTTAAAGTATACCTAGTTGCTGTAGGGCCTCATGGTGTTAGACAATGTTATAAAGTATTTAATTTAGTACAAATTTGTCAAAAATTCTATTTAAATCAGATTTATCGTTTAAAAGTTACAAGACATTAAATAAATAAATTTACAGACTGATGGGGCAAATAAAGGGTCAAAACGTTGTCACATCATACATGTCGTGTCAGGTATCATTTAAAAGGTCTCGTCGGACTGAAATGTTATTTTCGGAATAAAAAGTTGATTTTTTTTTTAAATTAGCTGAAACACAATTCTTATGGATTAAGTTGTTTATGTATACGTATCAGAAAGTTCATGCAACTTGCCTCAAGGCAAAACGCCACTTACAACTAGTTCTGAAAATTATAAAATAAAATCGATAAGTTTTTTTTATCAAAATCTTATGTTTTTAATCAGTCGCTTCACTAATATATACATATATATCTATAATCTTAATAATATAAATTATACTTAAAGATATTTATTTTAATTTTTGGCTCAATAACGACTAATTGTTGAGGCACACGAATTGTTTTATATTAATTTATAATGACAGCCTTTAATTAATTGAGTTATATTTCTTTGTAATAATCACACACACACACACACACACACACACACATATATATATATATATATATATATATATATATATATATATATTTTAGAGTGGTCCTTAATATGGACATTAGCGAAATTCTTTGCTCCCAAGGACTAAAATGCTTCCAAATTAATAAAACAAAAATCTCTAAAAGTTTTAACTTTTAATATTAACATTTAGATAGTCCGCACTTCAATTAAAAGTTTCGTATATTTATTCTAAAGTAAAATCTTGCGCCATCTGTGATAGCAGTCTTGCAATTTCGATGGCAATTTATTACTGATAATTTGAGTGTCTGCATCACAAATTAAATATTTTGCTCCAAAATTAATTTTGATACCATGATGAATAAATATTACGTTAAATAGCCCCCACATGGATTTAATTAGAGGTCAAGTGTTTTATAAATATTTTTAAGTGTCATAATATTTGAGTTCACAAATGCTATCACAGATGGCGCAAAAATTTACTTAATAATGAGTATACGAAACTTTTAATTGAATTGCGGACTCTCTAAATGTTAATATTGAGAGCTAAAACTTTTAGAAGATTTTTTTTATAAATTGGGAAGCATTTGAGGCCCTAGGAGCAAAGAAATTCGAAAATGTCCATATTAAGGACCACCCTAAATATATATATATATATATATATATATATATATTTAGATTTTTTGTTCGACGTTGAGACATATTCTTGAATGTTGATTTGTAGCCAATCGTCGAAATAAAAGAAACAATAAATTTTAAAATATATATTTATACGTTTCGACACTGTTGTGTGTCATCATTCAGCAATTTTTTGATGTTTTTACAGTATCTAAAAGAATTTTCACAAAGTTTAAAAAAAATTGCAACGAACGCTACATTAATCTTTAGTTTGAATTTAAAACAATTTTTTTTTTATTATATTAAGGTTTATTTCCTAAATTTATTAAATTTTTGTTATTGTTTTTTCTGGTGAGGTATCAATCTTTTACTTTTCATTTTATTTTTTCAATCTATAATATATTTTAAATTTAATCTTTTTTTAAATTTTGCAATTTTAAATAATTTAAGTAATTTTTAAATTTTAATTTTAGATACTGTAAAAACATGAAAAACTTTCTGAATTATGACACACGTAAATAAACGTTATGGTAAACGTAAATAAAACGTACCTTTTATTTTGACGATTGGCTGCAAATCAACATTCAAGAATATATATATATATATATATATATATATATATTTATATATATATATCTATATATATATATGTCTATTTCTATTTAAATTTATATCTATTTGTGTATCGATAAATCCAAAGGCACATCAGCAACTTCCATAGCATCAACTTCTTTACTATTTCCTACAATAATTTTATTCTCAAGAACAGTAGCCCCCGACATAATATTATTCTTAATAAAATCCTGAGCCAAAACAGGATTCCACAATTACTCCAAACATCAATACCCCCTTTCTCGAAATACTCCTGATTCAACAAAGCCCCAATTTTGAAAATCTCCGAAGCCTTTTGCAAATGCTCGAAACACTCGTGACTACAATTGCAAGACTTCTTGCCATCCATAGATGGCGGTGGTAATAGGTTGTTGTCTTTGGGTATCTGGAGTCTTTCGTTGGTTTGTTTATTGGGTGGTTCTTGTCTGGGTTTTGGTTCTGGTGGTGTCTCTGGTGGTTGGCTGGTGTGGTGCTTGAATGTCTTGACGTGTTTTCGAAGACTCGATGGATCCGTGTAGCGTTTGTTGCATCCTGGGATTTTGCAGAAGTATGGGCGGTCCGTTGAATGGGTCTTGGTGTGTTTGAAACGATCCGAGGAGTTCGAGTAGGCTTTGTTGCAGCCCTGGAAGAGAAAAAGACCTTAGTAATAAAACATTATATCTTATCTTCTGTACGGGTGTATGATTTGATACTTCTCCTAAACGGTTATTCGGGTTTTGATAATTCTTTTTAGAGTTTGTCAAAGAAAATCTTTAAGTTTTAATGAACTATAAAACTATAGTATTATTGTAGAAATAAATGGCAAAAAACACAAAAAAAACACTCATCATGAATTTGTAGTGAATGAGCTTAAAGAAGTTTTACTTGAAAAAATTGAATATTGTTTGAAATTGGGCATGTTGGGTATTTTTTGAAAGTTGGGTATTTTCTTTTTGTTTAGAATCAGAATAGTGAAACTAACTATGTGGTTTGTCTACAAAATATACACTTTCAATGAATCTGTAGATGTATAATCCAATTTCGATTCAATTTAAACCTGATTTTAAACTTTTAATAAACTTTTATTAAATATATAACAAATATCTTAAATATAAAATTCTTCTGTCCGGGTGTATGATTTGATTCTTCTTCTAAACGGTTATTTGGATTTTGATAATTCTTTTTAGAGTTTGTCAAAGGAAATTTTTTAAGATTTAATGAACAATAAAACTATAGTAATGTTGTAGAATTGAATAGCAAAAATTACAATGAACCACTTATCATTGTTTGACATTTGGACTGTCATCTGCTAGAAATGTCAATTCACTTGAAATTTGAATTCTTCTGAAATTATGAGCCTAGATAAAATTAGAATGTAATATACAAGAAAAATGTAATGTCTACATTATTAGTGCCGAAAACCAGCCGAGATGTACCAGAAATTAAAATAATATAAGATACAGTCAACAGTATATATTTTTGGCAGATGAAATTATATAATTCTGTTTAATAAATAATGCTACAAGTCAAAAATTGTAGTATAGCTGGTATGTATATACTGCTGGCCCAGTAAACGTTGTTTTCCTAGATATTTCTAGAAATTTTTTAGTATAAAAATAACTAACTGATAGTGAATGTAGATTTATGTGTATATAAGTGAGAACCCCAACTAATACAGATTATATGGATGGATGATTACCCACTGCAACGCATGCCACATATAAATGTTCTTAGGATATGTTAATAGTCATTGCAAGTGCCAGCTTAATTTAAAAGCGATTTATAGTAATGGGCCGAAAATCGAAAATAAAAATTTGTGCATTTCTCGACGTTTTAAAGGTTTCTAAACATTTTGGTATACCTCAGAAAAAATGGATGTATGTGTATGTGTGTGTGTTTTGTATGTCCGCATTTTTTCGTCCACGTTTTCGGGCGCACGGATCAACCGATTTGACTGGTTCAAAAAACATTCGATTCCAATTGAAAGGGAGATGTGCTGATTAGTTTTTGGCAAAGGCAGGTCCAGCCGTTACGGAGATACGGAGTAAAGAGTGCAGAAAATACAAATCGAGTTTTTGAGAGATCGGAGTATCTGTAATGATGAGAAGAAGAGGTGATTAGTTTTTCGCAAAGACAGGTCCCGCCATTTCGAAGATGCAGAGCAAAATGTGCAAAAAATGGCAGTTTTTGAGAGAACTAAGCGTCCGATTTGAATTATTCAAAGAACTTTTTGCTTATTTCAACAAAATAATTGCTTTTCAAAAAAAAAAGTTTTGTTGTTCCTAATTTTTTTTTCAAGATTTTGTATAACGAAAATAATTTAGATTTTACTTTTAATTCTGACTATAGTTCTAATATACTTTAAACAAATAATTTTAACTCTGCAATTCAGTTTATATAATTCTTATAAATATTAGACAATGTTACAATATTTATAATAATCTATATGAAAACATTTAAAATTCCTCGAACATTTCATTACGGTACGGGAAGTTCCAGCAATTTGCCTTAAGGCACGATGCCATGCACCGCTAGTTTGTTTGTGATTTATTATCAAATTTCCTCTACCCCTGAAAACCCTCCCCCTAAAAGTCCCCTGAGTATTTCGTGTATTGAGAAGAAAATAAAAGTTAAACTATTGTGTAAATAAAATATATACTTCCATAAATAGTATATATTTATATATTGTTCAATAGATTCTTACCATGACTGGACAAACGTAGGGTCTTTCCCCAGAATGAGACCTCAGATGAATTTTCAAATTCTCAGCCCGTGAAAACCGCTTTTCACAAATTGTGCACCTGTGCGGCTTCTCTTTGGTGTGTGTACGAATATGTACTAACATTTTATACCTGAGAAAAAAAACAAAATTAATATGTAGAACTAAATACCTAATTGGATAAAATCATATTACTAAATTTGATATATGTAATGCAATATGTATTTTATGATTCAAATATCGCGCCACTACTGTCAGTGTCGATTTTCCCTACTATAACTATGTATTCGTCATCTTAAATCTTTGGTAATGTAAAAATATGTGAAATTTCTCTTTCTTGTTCATGGAAAGCGAAACAAACAACATTTAAAATAAACTTAGTAAATTTAAAGGAAGCATTTTTATTTTACCACTAATGATAATATTTTTTTTGTTACCTTGCATTGAATCCCCTGTCGCTCCGTGGACAATCCTTCCAATGACAAAAATATTGTCCGCCTCTGCTCGCAGTCGCATGTTGGGTCGTCACGTGCTGTGCCAAATTATCAGGGGTATCAAATTGTCTGGAGGAAAAATACAGGCAATATATTAAAGAGTGCAATTTGGGTATTTGAATGTTCAATGGTTGTTATTTCGTTTACCTCTGGCAGTCGTTCCATTTGCAAATGAAGTTTTCGCTTCCGTCGTCGTCGACGCTGATGATGTCCTCCTCGCCGTTCGTGTCTTCCGATGTCACGATGCACATGGCGCCTTCTTCGTCCGATTCGGTGAAGGACGAATTGTTGTAACTCTGAAAGAATAAAAGAAAAGGAACTGTTAAAATGTATCCTCATTTGTTTGCATAGGAGTTATATTTTCCTTGGAACGAGTAAGATTTTTTTTTAAATCAGCAATATCAGTACAACTACTGACGACACTACTTGTATAAAAACGAAACTACCTTTCAACATCGAAGTCTTAGAAATCTTCTTTATCAAATTAATTGTTAAGACTGCGCCTCAGTTTATATTGGTATATAAAACTAGCCAAAATTTAACAAAACTACTTTAACAACATGAAAACAATTCAAACTAGTTGTGTATGGCATCTTGCCTTAAGGCAAATTGCTGGAACTTCCCGCAATTAAAAATCTTGGTGCGGAACCCAAAAAAATTACACAAAACGTGTACACATTATTAAAGTTTCTATAAAATATCTAATAATTTGATCTACAATAAACGTTTTTGACCGGCAAATGAATTTTTTTTAACTTATTTTTATTGAGAGTCCATAACCGCTGGACCTTCCCAAAAATCAGTTCTTCATCTTGTTAATACAAGTAAAATGTTTTTTGAATTATTAAAATCGGACACTCCGTTCTCTTAAAAACTGAGTTACCGTTTTTGGCACTTTTTGCCCCATATCTTCGGAACGGCTAGACCTGCCTTTGCCAAAAACTAATCGGCACATCTCCCTATCAATAGGAGTCGAATGTTTATTGCACTATTCAAATCGGTTGATCCGTGCGCCCGAAAACGTGGACTAAAAATTGTGTCCATACGTACATAAACACACATCATTTTTTTTCTGAAGTATGCCAAAATGTTCAGAAACCTTTAAAACGTGAAGAAATGTAAAAATTTTCAATTTCGATTTTTTGCGATTACTATAACTTACCCTACGGGAAGATAAAAAATCCAAACAATTTAAAACAATGCTTACAGAACATATTAACTCATTAAAACATGTTAAAGACTTTTAAACCCTTTTGGTGAGATATTTATGTTTTTATAACGAGAAGATAATAAACAAACGCAATGACCGTGCAACACAAATATTTGTTTTCTGGATTAAAAAAATCTGGTTTCAAAATTGTACCATAAAATTCACAAATAGATTTGCACATGGTAAAATATATTTTCTTAAAATCTTCTCTACTTTTTACTTTTTTACTCGTAATTCTTCTGCAGTTACATATTTTAGTTTTTAAACTTAATTGTGGTTCCGCTGAATGAAGGATAGGATAATAGCCGAAACGTATGGATTATAGAACTAACAATAATTTAGAGAATTTATAATGGCACTTTTTAGTATATTTGTTAAGGGAGGGTTTTTTAAAATGTTTATTGTTTTATAATTACTTTTATTAATTAGTTGACAGTGAACAGTGAAAATCTTTAAAATGGAATCAGTCTAAAAAGTAAGTATGAGCTTAACTTCATAAATAATTTTATATAATTTGTATTATTTTAATTGTTGAAAAATGTATTAGTATTAACCCTTTGCACTATGCACTATATTCTATTAACAATTTATGCATCATACAAATTTAATAATTACTTCTGTAAACAATTATATTAATATTAATTTGACATTTCAGGAAAAACAAAGAAATTTTTCAAATTGGTTAAACTTAATATTAAATGTCAAGACGAAAGTGATTTATGTTTTAATTGTTAAGTGTGATAATTATGTGGAAATTAATGTAAATGCAAGAAAAGGACATTTGTTATTAGTAATTCAAGATAAATTTGGAGTCAAGATGGTCAATTTGGAGGATCAAAATACATGTAAGTGTGATAGATATAATATTTTACATTTTCGCACATACGAGGTCTGTTCAAAAAGTACCCGGAATTTTCGTTTTTTCAAAAAAATATTTATTTATTCGTCTACATTAATGTGGTCCCCTTCAAAGTAGTCCCCCCCAGATATAATACACTTATGCCAGCGTTTTTTCCAATTTTCGAAGCACCCTTGATATTCACTTTTTGATATGTCCTTGAGCACTCTCAGCGATTCGGCCTTTATTTCTTCAATCGAGGAAAACCGCCGTCCTTTCATGGGTCTCTTCAACTTTGGGAATAGGAAAAAGTCACACGGAGCCATATCTGGTGAATTTTTGCACTTTGCAACACTTTATTTCATTTTTTACGCAAAATTTAATACAAATTCTTTGACTTTTTCAATTCTTCCATTGTAAAAATCGCCGAGCTCAGAAAAACAGTCGAACCTTAGCGACTACCACAGACAAAGTAAACAGTGAATATAGCTGAAAATTTCATCATACTTTAGGGGCATGTATACCAACACAATAAAAAAAAATTT